ATAAATGATAAAGAATGCCAATATAGATATAAAATCGATATTTTTTTGAAAAAAGCCTACTATGATCCAAACCAAAAATGATTTAAATTGCATTGAATGCTAAAATAGATATAAAATCAATATTTTTTGAAAATAGCCTGCTATGATCGAAACCAAAAATGCTTTAAATTGCATCTTAAAACATATATAGGTATTATAAATGATAAAGAATGCCAATATAGATATAAAATCGATATTTTTTTGAAAAAAGCCTACTATGATCAAAACCAAAAATGATTTAAATTGCATTGAATGCTAAAATAGATATAAAATCAATATTTTTTGAAAATAGCCTGCTATGATCGAAACCAAAAATGCTTTAAATTGCATTTTAAAACAAATCTAGGTATTATAAATGATAAAGAATGCAAATGTAGATATAAAAACGATATTTTTTTGAAAAAAGCCTGCTATGATCAAAACCAAAAATGCTTTAAATTGCATTTTAAAACAAATCTAGGTATTATAAATGATAAAGAATGCCAATATAGATATAAAATCGATATTTTTTTGCAAAAAGCCTGCTATGATCAAAACCAAAAATGCTTTAAATTGCATTTTAAAACAAATCTAGGTATTATAAATGATAAAGAATGCTAATGTAGATATAAAAACGATATTTTTTTGAAAAAAGCCTGCTATGATCACAACCAAAAATGCTTTAAATTGCATTTTAAAACATATCTAGGTATTATAAATGATAAAGAATGCTAATATAGATATAAAATCGATATTTTTTGAAAATAGCCTGCTATGATCGAAACCAAAAATGCTTTAAATTGCATTTTAAAACATATCTGGGTATTATAAATGATAAAGAATGCTAATATAGATATAAAATCGATATTTTTTTTGAAAAAAGCTTACTATGATCGAAACCAAAAATGATTTAAATTGCATCTTAAAACATATCTAGGTATTATAAATGATAAAGAATGCTAATATAGATATAAAATCGATATTTTTTGAAAAAAGCCTACTATGATCAAAACCAAAAATGATTTAAATTGCATTTTAAAACATATCTAGGTATTATAAATGATAAAGAATGCTAATATAGATATAAAATCGATATTTTTCGAAAATAGCCTACTATGATCGAAACCAAAAATGCTTTAAATTGCATCTTAAAACATATCTAGGTATTATAAATGATAAAGAATGCTAATATAGATATAAAATCGATATTTTTTGAAAATAGCCTACTATGATCGAAACCAAAAATGCTTTAAATTGCATCCTAAAACATATCTAGGTATTATAAATGATAAAGAATGCTAATATAGATATAAAATCGATATTTTTTGAAAATAGCCTACTATGATCAAAACCAAAAATGATTTAAATTGCATTTTAAAACATATCTAGGTATTATAAATGATAAAGAATGCCAATTTAGATATAAAAACGATATTTTTTTGAAAATAGCCTGCTATGATCAAAACCAAAAATGCTTTAAATTGCATTTTAAAACAAATCTAGGTATTATAAATGATAAAAAATGCTAATATAGATATAAAATCGATATTTTTCGAAAATAGCCTACTATGATCGAAACCAAAAATGCTTTAAATTGCATCCTAAAACATATCTAGGTATTATAAATGATAAAGAATGCTAATATAGATGTAAAATCGATATTTTTTGAAAATAGCCTACTATGATCAAAACCAAAAATGATTTAAATTGCATTTTAAAACATATCTAGGTATTATAAATGATAAAAAATGCTAATATAGATATAAAATCGATATTTTTTGAAAATAGCCTACTATGATCAAAACCAAAAATGATTTAAATTGCATTTTAAAACATATCTAGGTATTATAAATGATAAAGAATGCCAATTTAGATATAAAAACGATATTTTTTTGAAAATAGCCTGCTATGATCAAAACCAAAAATGCTTTAAATTGCATTTTAAAACAAATCTAGGTATTATAAATGATAAAGAATGCTAATATAGATATAAAATCGATATTTTTTTTTGAAAATAGCCTGCTATGATCAAAACCAAAAATGCTTTAAATTGCATTTTAAAACAAATCTAGGTATTATAAATGATGGAGAATGCTTATATAGATATAAAATCGATATTTTTTGAAAATAGCCTGCTATGATCAAAACCAAAAATGATGTAAATTGCATTTTAAAACATATCTAGGTATTATAAATGATAAAGAATGCTAATATAGATATAAAATCGATATTTTTTGAAAATAGCCTACTATGATCAAAACCAAAAATGATTTAAATTGCATTTTAAAACATATCTAGGTATTATAAATGATAAAGAATGCTTATATTGATATAAAAAGCTCCATTCCTTCAATTGCTGATAATTTTGGAACTCATTTCTCGGACAAAAATAAAGCAGATGCATTTGCTCGATCATTTCAGTCTTCTTTTAATGCAGTGCAAAATTCACATTCAAAGTTTGAAGGATTAGTCAGCAACGCTATTCAATCAATATCAGACATCCAAGATCCTTTTTTCGACCTGATCTCTACTCAAGATGTCGAATATGACATGCAATCTTTAAATCCTCGCAAAGCTTCTGGCCATGATAAGATTCATAATTGTGTTTTGAAAGCTCTGGGTTCTTCTACTTAATTCATTTCGCTCTGTTCTAAACTTTTCAATGCCTGTATGAAACTATCGTACTTCCCGAAATGCTGGAAAATTGCTAAAATCATGCCAATCCCCAAGGGAAAGCAAAATTGTAACTCTCCCGATGATTTTCATCCTATTTCCCTTCTTTCAAATCTTGTTAAATGTTTGAAAAAGATTGTCCTGATGCGTCAAAACGACTTTGAGCTCGAGAACAACATTTTTATTAAACAACAATGTGGATTTCGACAAAATCACTCGACGATTCATCAAATTCTCGGAATTACTGAACAAGTATCTTTTGGTTTCAACATAAACAAGAGCACAGGAATGGTCTTACTAGACTTACGTAAAGCCTTTGGTAGCGTCTGTCATGATGGTTTAACTTATAAGTTGATCAAGTTTAATTATCCTATGTATCTTATCAAACTCTTACAATCATATCTTCATTGTCGTTTTGCTTATGTTGTCTGCCAATCAGCATTTTCATATATATTTGATGTCTCATCTGGAGTGCCGCAAGGCTCTCTAGTCGCTCCTCATTTATTTAACATATTTATTAACGATATCCCTGTTCCAACAAAAGGCGATTTATCTCTTTACGCTGATGATACTGCATACCTTGTTCAATTCTCATGGAAGAATTTGAAGTCGATCAAGGTAGAATTGTGCAAATCTCTCAAGAGCCTACAAATCTTCTTTAATGACTGGAAGATTAAATTGAACGAGCTCAAAACAAAATTCATTGTCTTCACTATGTCAACTAAAATGATCCAGAAACTAAGAGGAGATTCAATTTCTTTCAATGGACAATCATTCGACTGGAAAGACTCAGTGAAATACTTGGGTCTTGTCCTTGACCGTATGCTGACTTTCAAACATCACATCAAGCGCGCAGTTATCAAAGCCAGTGCCACCAGTTTCTACAGTCTGTACTGCCTCTTAAGCAGAAATTCCTTTGCATCAACTGATTCAAAACTTAGAATTTACAAATCCTACATAAGACCCATTCTGACTTATGGCTGCCCTATTTTCCATAATGATGCTGAATGCCATGTTAAAAAGCTCCAACTTTCGCAAAATAAACTGCTTCGTATGATCTTAAACATTAACTGGTATGACTTTCAATCAACCAGAGAGATTCATGATTCAGCGAAAGTTCCGTTAATTTTTGATTTTACTTCTCGTCTAACCGACAACTTTTATGCCAAAGTTGTAAATCATTCTAATGATCTATTTTCTTCATTAGGCCAATACAATAAAGACTCACTGGGTTTTCGAGTAAAACATAAACTACCGAAACGTTTACATTAAGTCCTCACAATTTATTAACTAGTTAATTTTTTTTTCTTCTATTTTATTTTATCTTACTTTTATTTAAACAAATATTGGTCTTTTTTGTAACTTTTATTTTTTTTTGGCCAAACTTCATTGCATTACTAGTTAAACTTCTTTCTAATACTTTTTCAATTCTACTCATAAAAGCTCTTTACAATGCAATAAGAATTTATTCCGTATCTGAATGATAAGTATCAAGTAAAGGCAAAAAAGTGTTCAAACGTTTTAAGGTTTTATCATTTTTTGACAAAACTTATTCACAAATCCCACTGATTATTAATGTTTATTGATTTACAGGAAAATTGGAAATTTTTATGATATATTTCGTTTTTGTATCATATGTAGTTGCTGAGAAATAAACTGTCAAAGTTTCGACATAAATGGCTCATAAATGACATCACAAGTCGAAAATCAAAAATCTAGCTCCAACAACTTGTGAGCATTTTCAAAGGCTACAAAATGAGTTAAAAAGCAAAGCCTTTGATTAAGTATTGAAAAAGTTATTCAATTTCTTAGTTTTTCAACTTTGAACCGTTTCAACCAATTGAACCGGTTCAAAAATAGCATAATTAAATAGTACTCTTTGGATTTCAATTCCAACGATATAATATATCTATGTTATCTTCTATAGTTTTAGAGTTTTGCCCCAGAATCATTCAATTAAAGTATCAATAAAAAAAGTATCAATCAAGAGTTCAATTTACCTGTCGTCATAGTTTGTAGCGTTTTTGGTTCCTGTGCCTACATGCTGGAGCTAAACGAATAAATTTATGTTGGGTAATAAAAATTTAATGTAAAATTTATCATATGGGATAAGAATGTTTACTTTTCTCAGAAATTAAAACCAATTACATCATTTGATAGATGCATTAATGATAGATAATCCAAAATTATCATTTAATAAGCAAATATTCAGTGAATCAGATTGAATTTTTCATATGTAAGAAGGAAGAGAAAATAACGTTCAAAAAATATTCAAAAAGCCCTTGCAAAAAAGAATTAAAATAAAATTTGGTTAAAGAATCTGTAATAAAAGTTAAATTAAATATTTTCATGTTTAAAGTACTGTAAATGGACTAAAAAATAGTTGGTGTGATATATACAGATCAATTGCACTAGGATAACAAGGAATTTTAAATAATTGACGAGATTTAGGTGTAGAATAAAGCTAGCATTTATTTGTGCGTAAAAGTCGACAAAAAATGTTTAAATGGACTCTATAATAACGCAAGTAAATAGAGAAGATGAGCAATTGAATGCTTTTACAAATGATAAAGGTAAGGATAAGAAAGAAAATTGTGAAAATGAATTGATTACAAGATAATTATTAAATTTATAAAATTGTTGTGAGGGAATTGAAAGATACAGGCAGATATAGGTGTTGACTTTTTTCAGGGCTTTTGAATTTTTATTTACTACAGCCTTGGATTCACATATATTTTCTAAAAATAAACCTTACACAGTGGCATTAATAAATTCAAAAAATAGCATTACATATTTTCTTCGATTTAATATTAAAATTCTAATAATTCAGGCACGATTCATTCATGATTTTCATACTATACATACTAGTATTAAATTATATTCTTATACACTTGAACAACAAACAGCTAGCCCAGTATATAGACAGAATCACTGTATAAATCAAAACAATTCTCAGCTCTTTACTATATTTTATTTTAGATAAAATTAGTTTCATATGAATTATATTACGGACGAGCGCATATATTCTTAAAATAGATTTACACAACTGAAATTATGCTGAAAATTAAAATTGACTTTCATATTGTAGTATTGATCTTAAATCGGGAATTGAGTCATTTTTGTTTAAATTATAAACTAATTAATCGCGCTACACTTTCGCAGATAAGGGAAGCGAAAAAATTGTACATTTCTATATACACAACGCTACTATATGTTTCTATATGCACGACAAATTTGCGATTTATGTATTAATTTTATATCCATTACATCCCATTATGACATTTCATCACTAATCTTAATCTTTATCTTTCTCACAAAAAAAATTAAAGGAACTATCGAAGAAAATGTAACAAAAAAATCAAAAAGGCGAATATGGGAGACAGTCTTCTGCTGTTGGCGACAACGGAGTGCTTCTATAACTCGCCGTACCAAATCAAATCAGAATGGTGGATCGATAGAAGGACTTTCTTCAACGCAAACTATAGGACAAGCAAGTGGGCTCACGTGCAACAATAGTCAAAATCGATATTTACTTCCGCCAGTTAGACATTCGGATATGCATAAAAAATGTATGGTTATTGATTTAGATGAAACACTTGTGCATAGTAGTTTTAAAGTAAGTATAAATTGCATGGCATGCCAAAAGTCAACTTCTTATCAATGACTGATCGTTTGTTATAATTTTCCTTTTTCGTAGCCAATTCCAAATGCAGATTTCATTGTTCCCGTTGAGATTGACGGAACAATTCATCAAGTTTACGTTCTTAAACGTCCTTATGTCGATGAATTCTTAAAGAAGATGGGCGAGCTATACGAATGTGTTCTCTTCACAGCTAGTTTGGCAAAGTATGCTGATCCTGTTGCCGATCTTTTAGATCAGTAAGTTTTTCCCTTAATCGTCACATTATTAATGTTTGTTAATAACAAAATTTTCATCAACATTACAGATGGAACGTCTTTCGAGCTCGACTGTTCCGAGAATCTTGTGTTTATCATGGTGGCAATTATGTAAAAGATTTAAACAAACTAGGCCGAGATCTACAAAAAATCGTGATTGTAGATAATAGTCCGGCTAGTTATATTTTCCATCCCGAAAACGCTGTTCCAGGTAAATATGAAAAAAAAAAAAATAAATGTTCCCTAGCAGAAATTTACTAGTAATTTCCTAGTAATTTATTGGATAACTTTCCATTCGCTACTTGCTATTTACTAGTCAAAATCCAAGTTCAAATCTTCGCCAAAGACCAGCGAAAAAATACTTCATAAAAAAAACTTTTTAAAAAACCACGTTTTTTCCCGTGGACTAAAAAGTAGAAAATAACTTTTTTAATTGGGTTCAAAGGATACTGGTTTGAAAATTTGAGATTGATATTAAAGTTTTATACTAAAGTCATGACCATACATGAATTGCAAATTTGTTCACTTCGACCATATTGTATAGTTCTACATCTTAAAACGTGGGCGCATTCATTAATATTGTATATTAGGAAAGCTTAAATTTTATATAAATGCGCCCACGTTTTAAGATGTAGAACTATACAATATGGTCGAAGTGAACAAATTTTCAATTCATGTATGGTCATGACTTAAGTATAAAACTTTAATATCAATCTCAAATTTTCAAACCAATATCCTTTGAACCCAATTAAAAAAGTTATTTTCTACTTTTTAGTCCACGGGAAAAAACGTGGTTTTTTAAAAAGTTTTTTTTATGAAGTATTTATTTTCTACTTTTTAGTTTTAAAAAATTATTTAAAGTATCCATCGATCAGCATAAGTTTGTAAACTAGAACAAAACCATTGAAAGTCTCCATCGATCAGTTGTGCTTCGCACAGCATAAGTTTGTAAACTAGACTCATACCATAGAAAGTCTTCATCGATCAGCTGTGCTTCGCACAGCATAAGTTTGTAAACTAGAATTTAACCGTAGAAAGTCTTCATCGATCAGCTGTGCTTCGCACAGCATAAGTTTGTAAACTAGACTCATACCATAGAAGTCTTCATCGATCAGCTGTGCTTCGCACAGCATAAGTTTGTAAACTAGAATTTAACCATAGAAAGTCTTCATCGATCAGCTGTGCTTCGCACAGCATAAGTTTGTAAACTAGACTCATACCATAGAAGTCTTCATCGATCAGCTGTGCTTCGCACAGCATAAGTTTGTAAACTAGAATTTAACCGTAGAAAGTCTTCATCGATCAGCTGTGCTTCGCACAGCATAAGTTTGTAAACTAGAACAAAACCGTTGAAAGTCTCCATCGATCAGCTGTGCTTCGCACAGCATTAGTTTGTAAACTAGAATCAAACCATTGAAAGTCGTGTAACGTATTTTTGTCATTCAAACTCATAACGGCTTTTTGAATTATAAAATTATTGAAAGTTGTTCATATGTTATGTAAAAATAAGCTAAGCCTTAAAGAGTAAAAAATTTAATTTAATTGTACTATAATTAAGCATTTTTAAGTTTCCAAAATGCTTGAATAATGTATTGTCACCGGAAAGAAAAGTGCATGCAAAATTTCAGCTCGATTGGAGCAGTAGAAGTGGTCGAAAAATTGATCGCAAGATTTGACCTCGACAAACAGATAAACAGATAAACAGATAAGAAAGCAAGTTAAGAAAAACGTGGTAATAATAAAATAAATAAAAGACTTAATTTAATTAAGTCGAACACTGATGAACGCCTTTGACTCGCACGTAAATCTGAGGAAGATAAATAATTAATTGAAAGTCACGTACAAATTTGAAATTTGATTTCTGCGCGCTCGTGTGAAGTATATGGCAAATGCCAAATTTAAAACAAAATTTTTTATGACGCAAAAAATTCTTTTTTTGATGATTTTTCGTAAGATTCGAACTTAAGCAGATTTGATCAAATATTTCACATGGTAATTTGCTAGTAATTTGCAATTAAATAGCAAGTGTAATTTACTAACAGTAAGTTGTTTTGATAATAACTAGTAAATTGCAAGTTGTAGAATAGAAAGACTAGCAATTTGCTAGTTAGTCTCGCTAGGGGTTTACTGCTCAAACTATGCTCAACCACTAAACGTTGTTGATTATTGTATTGCGTAGCACAGTTTGAGGAAAAAAGTACTTTGCATTCAATAATGACGACACTACTAATATACAATTTTATTTTATAGTAAAGAGCTGGTTTGACGATATCAGCGATACTGAACTTTTGGAATTGATTCCTTTATTTGAGAAATTAAGTAAAGTGGATTCTGTTTATACAATACTATCTAGTAAAAATACAAACTCAAATTCTAATTTAATAACACAAACAACATTAACATCCTCTTCGTCAATAATAACATGCTCGCAACAGCAGCCAAACGAGAATACGTAACATTTAAGGATTAAAATAGGAATGAAAAAATTTTTCTTGTTGTTCTTTCATGGTTAAAGTTTTTTGTAAATTTCGAATTCGTGCATATACATCAAAAAAAAAATTAAGATGTAAAAATTATATGTTTTTGTTGTGAATATATATTATTTGTGACAAACAAATGAGAAGTGATGTAGTTTTTCAAAAGCATTTCCGTACATCTTGTGAACACAACCAACTTTTTAAGCTCAGTTTCAGTGAAATTTTTTATAAGCTAAGACATCAAGTGTAGAAGGTATTGATTGGTTTTCGACATATCATTTGCATATCCGTCAATCGATAAAAAAAAATGACTCACGAAAGTGATAGAAAAAGTTCTGTACGGAATAACTGTGTTTCCTGTAAACTGTCTTCCCATCATCTACATTACTCGCACAATGTCCTCCTTCTCTTTGTCCTCACTACTTCATATACTTACTACATGCTATCTATGCTTTTGAAAAATTACTCAAAAGTAGTTATACATATATTTATACATACAATATAATATAGGGGGAATGAATAGGTAGCATATTTCAAACCAATCTTTCATTCTTTATTTATTTATTAGTACAATAATTCATACATAAAACATAGAATTGTGCATGTTTATTTCGAAAAGTCTAAAAGATGTTGCCTGCAACAATTTTTTTCGGACATAATATTATCAGAAATTATTTAGATTAACAAAAATGATGATCATGCTGGGGATGATAAATTCATACTTATCTTACAGGCTTATGTCTGTTAGTAACCATAGTTTAAACACAACTTGCGTCGATTTCACATTTCGCGACTGATATTGTTTTGACTTAAGCTATGGTGTTAATCAATTAATTGTCATATATCAAACACATTGGTCATCCCTAGAATCATCCCACAAATCAGTTAATTGATTTATTTTTTCATCCAGGAGACAAATATTTAAGTATGTTAATCATACAAAAACAATTATAATTCTTATAAAAGAGGCCGTTAATTTATAATGTCTAGCATCTGAAAATTCTGTGGTACATTTTCTTTTAATGAAGTATTTGTCTCACAGAAGATTCCAGTTTTTGATAGACGTTATTTATGAATATCCCCATTAAACATGTTAATTAATGCAATTACTAATATAAGTTCGATGAAATGAAAAAAAAAAACGAGAATTCCTTTAAAAAAATTACAAAATTCATCGTGTTATTGATAGAGGAACATCAGCGCATTTTTGACGCAGCGATCAGTATTTTCAACCATCAAAATGCGAGTCAAAAAGCTCCAAAACTTGAACATTAGCAAAGCTTCAGGTATACTTAAAATTTTTTTTTGTCTTTCAACCGGTTTTTAAAAATCAAATTTCTTAACGGTTTTATGAATTATTTTCCAACATGTTTATGGGCAAATCCATGAATAAACGGTACTGCGAAAATCGACTAAGAATTCTTCTCAACTTGATAAATTCAAAAAAACCGTTAAAATCAAAAAATAATTAAGTTTAATTCACTTCCTGAATTATTTTACCTATCAAAAACAGTGCCAATTTACATATTTTAGATCAAAGATGACTAATGATCTAATTTAAGGCTTAAAAAATTAAATTTATTTTGTTTGCAGACAAATTTTAACGAATTTTTCTCTTTCAAACCGTTTTGGATTCATTTGTGTTTTGCAATAATGATTCGAAAAATTAACAAACTGACGCTAATTTTGTAAATATCTCTTTAATTAAGCATTTTATTGAGATAGAAAGAACACATAATTAAAGCATAGACGAGCGAAAATCTAATGTATATCTTTTCTCGACGGTAAAATGCATATTTATCTAGAAAATGGAAAAAGTGTAAAATTCATTTTTTGTAGAGTTAACAATCAGACGCTCTCCAAATTGAAATAACTTATTAATTAAAGCACATAGAAAGCTGATTTATTGAAAAAAATATTAAAATTAAGTTTTTCTATCATATTGAGTTTTAAAGCACAAAGTTAATCAAGCCGTTTTTGAGAAATTTGCAAAAGATGTGGTTTTTTGTAGAAAAATTCTTTCGTAGATTTGCCCTTATATTATTTTTGTCGGATAAAATAATTAATAATTCCTTTTTAACCAGATAAATAAATTTTCACAGTAAAAACTCTTGAGTTCAATCTGATTTGTAATTTAACGTTTCATTTGAATTCAAAAGAACGGTTTTTGAAATTCAAATTTTAACGTTTTTTTTTTTAATTTGAAGTTATAAAGGCTCCAAAATTGAATCATTAATTATCAGAGCTCGAAGTTGACTCAATAACTCGATAAAACTAATGTTATAAAACAAACCCGAGCTATCTACGATGTCTGGATAAAGAGATCTTAATTCCCAGTCAAACCAGCAAACGAACTAATTGTATTATTAAGCTACCTTTTAGAAAACAAGTTTCCAAAAATTCGTTAAATATAATTTTATTAACTTCAAGATTCAGTACCGAAAAAGGAGCATCCCAAAATTTAATATGTTGAAACCTAATTGAAGATGATGCAAAATAAATTTAAAAAAAAACAAACTTAATAATTAATTAATAGAATATCTTTTTATATTTTTATTATTTCTCTAAAATGTCTTGTAATGATTAAAATTTATTTTCTTTAAAATGTTGCAATCTAATAAAGTTAAACGGGGTTTCTTATTCAGCTTCGATCTTACGAAATTCTTCAAGTAACATCCACAATAGAACTACTCACCGTTAAAAATAATCTTGCTTTATGTACATAGTATGATAATAGAATTATCCAACAAAAATTTCCTATAACCTCAAATTAATATCAAAACTTGACGATTGCGTAATTTTGGAGCTGAACATCAACCAAATTAATTTAAAATAAAAATGGGCTTCTAATTATAATTTTTAATGGATGTAATAGTGAAATTTTTAATATTAAGGGAAATCTGTCAATTTTTCACTAGCAAGAAAATTTGTATAAGGGAAATTGAAAACTACAATGAATTTTATTATTTTTGTGACAAACCCCACACTTATCTTAATGTACGTCCTTCAAAAAATAATTAATTCTAATTTCCAACAACAACAGCAGCAAAAAAACCTTATCAATATGATTTTGTTTTTGAGTCTCGATAATGAATGAAATGAAATAAAAAAACAGTATTTGAAACAATACTGATTCCGGACTTAAAGCTTTATGATTTTACAAACGCATTTCATAAATTGTAATCGGTTAAGTTATTAATAGCAATTCTTAAAGGTTTGTTCACTTTTGACGTTCGATCTTTAGAGATACTACATAACCAAATTTATCCTTAAGTCCTATGTAATACATAAGGACAAATGCGGCTTTGTAGATATGCTTTTGGATTTATTATTCGCCAATAGTAAACAACCCACAAAGAGTCGTAATCATTAAAGGAATATAATTTTTTTGCCTTCATCACAATCAAGGGGTGTGTCCATAGGTTCTTATTACTTTCGATACAATTTTACGTCCATAAAATAGATATGGATATACCCCCGATCATAGTTGATGTATGAATAGATGCCATGTATTTTTTGTTTAATTGTCTTTTGCATTTTGTCAGTAAATTTATTGATTAACTTATTTCGTCATAGCTGAAGGCTAAAAATAAGAAAGAACTTCATTAGATATAGCATTTTTGGATAAATACAGAATTCTTTATATTGTTTTCGGTGAATTCTAAAAGCATCATGTCATCAATCTTTATAATATATAAATTTAAAAATAATAACGATAAACTAAAATTGCAAAAGAATATCAATTTTATATTATAAAAATAACAGATGTAAAAAAAAAATATTAATAAAATTTTTATAAGAATATATCAATCACTCGAGTCTTAATATTTTGCTCTAGTTTTCAGAAAAAAAGTACCAACGACACGTGATGGTTCAATAATTTCATTTCAGCAACATTTCCAATCACACGAATGTGTTGTATGTTGTATCGTTGATGTGGCCTTGAAAACATCAGTGATGCCATATCTATACGCTGTTGATTTTGAGTCATTTAAACTTGATTAATCTACCAGTCTTTCCTTCTTCAGAATATATTGATCACTTTCAGACGCTTTGGTTTCTTTAAATGTAGTTTTCTTGTTGGCTGTAATTGAAGATCCGCTCTTAGATTTATTCAAATTCTGATCGTAAAAAGTTTCATTATTTTAATAAAAAGAAAAATTGATCTATCTTCAAACCGAGAAATTCTTTTTTATGGATGCATCAAGAAATGTATTACTCAATTTTGATGCATACTTGTAGACTTTTAAAAGTAATTTTCCAACAATAAATTCAATTTCAAAGTCAATCTTTAAAAAGTCATGCTGTTCATCAATCATGTATATATAACATAGGATAACATTAGTTCATCTCATGAGCACAACTCTGTTACATGGTAAACAATAAGAGAGACATAAATGCATCTGTTTAAATCACTCAGACACACCATGCTCCATTTATTCTCATGCTCTGAGAGGAAATGTTGATTATGATCTTCTCTTAATTTTATTGACTTAAGGTGAGCTGTTGGAAGAAAATATTGAGCAAAAACCTTAGTCTTTCATAAGTCTTCAAACGGATCAGTTGAAAAATTTAAGAGGAGGATATTATTTCAATAAAGTGTTGTGTAATTAAGAATATTTTCAGGTGTAAAAGACTTGCATTTGTGTGTTGTGCAAAGTGAAAAGAATGAAAGAAGCACTTGAATAAGAACAAATAAAAACAAAAATAAGAAGGAACGCTAACTTTATTGAACAGAAACAACAGAATCACAAAGAAAAGAAAAGAAAGAATTTTTTAAATATAAATTCTACTTCTTTTTGTACTTTGAGCTTGTTTTAGACTTTAAAAAAAAAATGAGTTTTTGCCATGATTTTAAATAGTTGGTAAGTTTTTGATTGAAAAATATGCAAAATGACAGGAAGCTTCATTAAATTGTGAAATAAAAAATAAAAATTTGAAAATTTTCAACTTTTCTTTTTTCAAAAGAAACTTTTCACACTTTTCATGAGATATTCAGTGGAAAAATCAGGTTAATGACTATTTACTCAATGAATTCATTGAATTTTAGTAACATCTGCAAATTTGTACCTTCAGCTCGCGAAGCTTATTATACAGAAAAGAAAAAAAATCGAAAGTGGAATTTCCTACGTGTAACACCTTCTATGTGTGTTAAAAACAGTATAGACCGTCTATAAATACATTCAAAATAGTCAATATGCACATCATTTAAAACAATTAAGTGTCATTGTATTTTTTACATTATCTTAGATAGTTTAGAAATTTTCGCTATATGATCGTTTTTTGGTACTCTGAAAGCTTATAAAAATTGTATTTTAATATTTTACTAGTGCAAATGTTGTAGCTTTTAAAAATCAATCATAGTATCAATCACCATTATTATCATCGATCGATCATAACTGTTATTAACACGGTTGATAATAATCATGTGCATCATTATTCAGCCTTCAGCAACGTCATAATTCAAGCTATAAATCTTCCTGGCATCATCCAATGATAATAACTTTTTATGTGGATGTAAAGCTGTTGCAATATTTTATTTTCTACCAATATGATCTAACCAGCAGCAAAATGAATGTGTATTGAAGAATGATATCATTTATTGGTAATGTCAGAATGCATGTGGCAAAGCTTTTACTGCGGCTTACAGGGACGTTTGAATCATTTTTTGTTTCTCATAAAATTTTTAAATTTTTGCAAGCTTTAAATTATCTTTAATTTATTTTTTCTTATTACTGTTCACGATAATTGATCAATTGAATGAAAATTCGTTTTGAAGATGAATAAAAAGATATTTTCAACCCGATGGATACTTGACTATTAAGCTGTGCTTTTGCATAATGTGGGTGGATTGGTATCTTGACCTTTCTTTATACAATTCCGGCTTGTCGAGTTGGAAAACTATACATGGGTCGTTTTTTACATATTTTTATTTTTGTTTCTGTAACAGTATGGTCACAATAATACACTTAATGTTGAATGTTGTCTCAATTGATGTAGGTTTTGATGAACCTCTTTAATTCCAATAATTTCTTATTAAAGAACACGATAATTTCGTTCACTTGAAAATTCTGAATAAATCATGATCAGGTCATCATAATGCATCACTTGATTCTAAGTATACTGTCGTCATGTTATGTTACGTTTGGATGAAGCTATGCGTTACTCGGGCAATTTTTATGAATGGGAGTTTGAAGAGTCTTTATTGACATTTAGATGATCTCAGAGTTGCACAAATACATTTGGAGTCAATTACCTTAATCAAAAATAAAATTTACTTTCTCAAGTTTATCTTTGTCCGATGATGTGATGATTTTGTCTCCGTCAATACACCTAAACGTCAATTAGCAGAAAAGTTATATTTTTTCATCATTCTGGTAAAAACACCAATTATTTTTGCACTAATATTGAGAGTCTTTAAGTCTTGAGATTATTATATGAGCATCAAGGATAATCCTACAATTATCATTTCATCAATCAGATGAAGCGATTATATTTAATGATGCGGTATAACAAAATTTTAAGATAAAATCGTAAATATAAGAATGAGAATAAAAATTGTTCTCACGAGAAATCACTCACAGTTTCTTTTACTATAATTCATCGCTTCTACGAATAAAAAAGAATTTTTTTTTTTAAATTTACTAGCGATTCATTAAAAGCCAAAGAGATTTAAATGAAAAATGAATGATGATCATTTTTATTACACGCGTAAAAATCATGAATTAAAAAATAAGTGAGTAAAATATGGCTTTGGTGATATTCCAAGAATGTATCTGCATCTTGGAAATAAAAGAATATTTGTAAATGGTAGAAAAAATGTGTGTGCTGTGCTCCAAACTCTCAGTGCAACAACAGCATACTCAATTAAAATCTCAGGTTGAAAAACGTATTCGTGTGCTGGAGAGAGAAATAATCCAATTGGAAAGAAATATTCATTCAGTCTTTCTTTAGACTTCGAGTGGATCAGTCGCAATAAAACAGAGGAGAAACCACCGTGTGAATTAATTTAATACACAAATACATACATAGTCTTATATATGTATACAATTTGACTTGGTGTTTTACAAAGTGAAAAAAGCAAAAGAAGAAAAGAAAAAGAAATAAAAAATCTGAAGAAAAGAAGTAAAGATTTTAATAAAGTTAAAGTTACATGAAGTTCAGCAACAGAAAATAAAATTAAATAAAATAAAAAAATAAGAAAAAAAGTTGTGGAAACCTATTGTATTTAAAAGAGCAAAGAAAAAAATTTCACTTTGGATTATATTTTTGCTATGGGTGCTATTTAATCATAGCACTTAATCTTTGGTGAGTGTTTATTTTTTTTAAAATACTATTTTCAACGCACAAGATCATTTTTGCGAGTATTTTCGACGATTTCTAAGTTGATTTATTTTAAATTTTTAAAGCCTTATTAGGAAAAATTTCTAGTATCTCATGGAAAAAAGTTGTGGGAAAGATCAAAGAAATTTTTATTACAAGAATCTATAAATGGATTTTCAAATAAAAACTTATATCTTAAATAAAAAAAAAAACTAAATGCTTAAAGTGCGATGAATTGCTCCACTCACGCAAGACCTTCATCGAAGTAGAAAAAATAAAAAAATAAAAGTAAGTTTACTCAACACTACCGAATGAAACGTTTATCAAATCAAAGATGGAAATGCCAAGATTTTGAAAAAAAAACAAGACTAGAGCTAAAAATAGGTGTATTTGTAATACACAAGATATTTGCAGATATGTTGATGAAAATTGAGATTTAAGCACAAATTTAAAAAATAGTTGATTAGTTTGCAAATTATGATGTAATTCTTGTATTGAGTGAGAATAGGATGAGCTAAGCGAAAATTTATAAATACGGTAATATTCAATAGTGCCTTTATACATTCTACATTCTTATTCGAAATATTATTACTACACCATTGCAAATATCAAGAAAGAAGAACCAATGATTATTTTCTTGCTTCTCACTAAGCCTTAATTATAGGTATTATTCACTAAGGTTCTTGAAAGAATTTGCCATTTCACCTCTTCGTCATCACAGTTCAATGCCACAGCCGTGATGTAATTATTCATTAAATATTCATAATCATCAAATCTCCGTTGAATGATGCAATAACTTTTCACGCCTACGACAATAATACCATTAACAGTTGAACAGTCTTGAAACTGTCGCGATGGCGACTAAAAATTTGCATTAACGCCCAAGCATCGAATATTTCTGTTTCACACATTTCGACGCTGAACTTCATAAATTAAGGAAAAGGTACACAGCCTTATATTAATATAAATTCTTAGCATGTGGTTAGATTTTTTGAAAAGTCTTTGATAATTTTTACCCAATTGTGATTTATAATTAATGATTGTAGAAAATTTCTAAAGAACCTTCTTCACTTTTTTCAACTAAATATACAATTGAGTTATTTTGAATAAAATAAAATGTTGGATAATCCTATACGTCTGGAATATTAATGAGGTACAATTTTTGTCTCTCGTACAGAAAAGGAAGTGGCAAATGGAAAAAGTTCAAAAAATATATATATATATACGAAAACGGGATTTGTTTAAAACTTCAATATGTGTGATGGGAAATGACTCATTTCTTTCCATATTTTTCTCTCTACTGTTCGCTCACGAAGTCAATAGTCTTAACACAAGCTCAAGATACACAATGAAATTGTGAATACAACAAAATATACGCGCAGACAAAACTCACCAACAATATAAGCAAAATTTTATAATAGAATTAAATTGAGGTTTCGTGCTATTACTTGAATTTAAGTCTTTTGATTCAATTGAATTTAAGCTTTGAAATCTTTTTCGAAACATATCGATTATCTTCTTACCAATTAATTCTGTTTTCATGTTGAAATAAAATATAAATTAGTTAAAAATAAGAAGTTCAATCCTAAATGTTAAATAATACAGACAAAAGTTTGATATATGTTGGCATATAGCTTGACCAAATGCTACAATGACTTTAAGAAATTGCAAAATTAAGATTATCTTGTTCATCAATAGAAATCCTTTTCTCTTTTTTTTTTCGTGAGAAGAAAGTGCGAAAAAAGGAAAGTGCTTTAAAATAAATTTCTAAGACATGAACACAATACTACAGCCTATGATGAATTAAATTGTATAATCGAAAAATTGTGATTGCCAAGTAGTCGAAAATTTTACAAACGCCACTCCCGCATTATAATAGAATTTGTTTTTCACGCAATTGAATTCATTGTATATGGAAATATGTCTAAGCATGTATTTTAAAATACAGCAAACACCTACATGCTATTAAATATTCAGAGTTCTTGACATTAATTATTGTTTGTCTACTTAAGATTACGGATGCCAAATTTTTTGTCTGTTATTATATAAGGAAATCTTGGTTTGTTTTAGTCAAGAAAGTTTAATGTCTAATGAAGATTTCGGATGTAATTAATCTATTAATTTATGCATATTGAGAAAGAATTTTATGTTACTTGTTATGCGTTAAGCGGATTTCAGTCATTTCCTGCATCTATTCTCGAAACTCGATTTGTGAACATAAATTTTAAAACCTTCTGAAACAAACTTAATGCAATTCGTATTTTTTTTTCGTAAAAAAATACAGATAATAATCTTTAACATGATGCAAACTTCACAACTCAGATTAGTTTGGAAAAAATGTTACTACTATTGTCTTAGTGGCTATTTTATATGCATTTCCATTCACAGTATACATTAATGCTGTTTGTATGAGGTCGCTATTACTAGCAGATAAATGCTAATGATATATAATGATGTACATATTCAGAACGAACTTTTATTTTTAAAAAATAACATTTTTCCTGTTATAATTCTGAACATTAATCATTATTTCGCCCTAAGGAGTTACTCTCTGATATATCTGAAGACAAGAAGTTTCATATGGTGTTTCATTTAGCATATACACACCTTTCGTCCATTCAATGTCTTATAGTTCATAAAGTCACACAACAGTGATCATTATCAGTTATTACTACTGTTATATGTAATCACACACATGCTGTTTCAACTTCATTGAAAATTTAATTGTTTTTAATTTAAGCAATGCTGCATTTTGTTTGATTGCTCATTCTTAAATTGTGCGAAAAAAATTGATAGCAGGTTATGTCATACCTTTTTTTAAAGCATTCTTGGTCAGTGTTTATTACCTTTAAGGAGAAAATCTCTAGACAGTTCTTTTTATTGCTATTGCATGCTTTTTATGCTTACTGTGCTAATGATCTAGCAATATAAAGTAATGAATACTATCCACCTTTTTCAACGACTGTGAGTCATTTACTCGTTTTTTGAACAATCTCCAAAATTGAAAAATGATGTTTAAAATATATTTTTTTCTTCTCGAAATATCTCTGGCACTTTTTATGGGGGTGTATCGAAAATTTTAATAGTTCAAAGTATTATGAAATGCCAAAATCATTTTAAACCGTTCGTAAAACAGTTTGTTTTATATTTGGATATCCCATTAATAAAACTCCAGGATCTTTCTTAACTGCGATTTTATTTCGATCCAAAATATGATTAATAATGTTCCTATTAGTTTCTCGATCGTAATTTTTCAATCACTAGATGTCTTTATTAGACATAATCACCATAAATGTTGAAATCGTCAGAATTTATTAGATTGAAAATTCTTTAAACTAATTAGACTCCAAAAGAATTTCGAGATTTGACTTTTACTTTCAAATAAAGTTGAAGAATTCTCGTGGAATTTTTATTCGATCCGCATATGCATTCCTAGTTATTGCTACATGATTTTATGTGATTACATCAATTGCATCATCATTTTGATTTCCATATAAGTACATAAAGTAATTTATTATTAATCAGTTTACTTTATGGTTGTCCTACAAATACCTTCTTTTTATAAAAAAAAATAAAATAAATAAATAAGTATTTAATTCGTGTATAATCACGATGAATCAAGAGCTTAATAACATTTTAACAGATCCAGTAATAACGATATTGGAGATTCAAGTTACCAAATATGAAATTTTCGATGCGACTAAAGTCAAAGATATTTTTTTTGCAAAGGCATTAATCCATTTGACTTGTTCATGTATTGAACTTTAAATTCAAAAAGATCAAGAATGAGTATCGATGATACGTAGCATAGCGAAGACGTTATAAAAGGATGAAAAGAATAACTGAAAGCAGTACAGGTTGCAAAACAAGTTCGTAGGTTTTAGTAGTATATGTTAAATTCTGATAAGAATGAATATTATAGATTCTAATAGAATTCTTGTTGATGCAGTTTATTGAACGAGTTGTGTAAAAGATATTCAAAATAAAAATAGCAAGCTTAAAAACATTCCATCTCATCTCATTTTCTTAGAATTCTTTCAGATAGGCTTACAAGAATACAAGAATAATGGAGCTGTTTAATTTCTTTAGATAGCTCGAAATCTTTTATGCGAGGCTTTAACATTGTAAAGGATTAAGTTTTTATACTTTCAAAGTCAATATCTAATAAGAAAAAAGGAATACATTATTATTAATTCATACATAAATTAGAACTTTTTGTAAAGAATTCTTAAAGTTTTTGACTCGTCTTCGGTATAAAGTCCATGGGCTGCAATCATTCATCATTACTCCATTCCACAGTTTTTCGCACATACACACAGATTATATTGACAGAGAGGAAGAAAAAGAGAGATAAAAAGTCATGTTTTTTGTTCATATAATGCACGACAATGTTATTAAGTTCTCTCTTCTTATAATTTTAGAGGTCTCAAGGTCTAAATCATTTTCTTATGGTTTTCATCTTCATTCTTTTATTCTTTAGTTGTTCTTCTTCTTTATGACTCAAAGGAAACGAGATGAAAATATTATTAACTAAAACAGACTGTATAGAATGCATTTATTTTCCAAAATGGAAATAAATACAAAAGTACAAGAAATGAAAAAAATGGGTCTTGAGAATTTCTCACCTTAATGAATAATACATTGTTGTCATCTATCATTCATTCATTCATTTGTTTTTTGTTTCATTCTTGTTGATTCAGACATCGTACATTTCGCAAAAATTATTTTCAAAAACGTGTAAACATGCTTATGTCTCTGCCTTTTGCCTCCCATGTAATTTTCAATGGATTTCAACTCTGTAGTGCATGAATTGAAATTTAATAAATCGTGAGAAAGATTCTTTAGTTAAAGATGAAGCCAATAAATTTTAAAATTGTGAAATACAAGATCGAATGCTTAGAATGATTCAATAAAGTATGAAGGTGTTTCTGTTCCATTCTATATAGCCAGTAATATGCTTTATTACACCGATTTTCCTGTTATTTCCAACAACAGTAGTCATCTTTGTAATTATCACAGGAAATATATAATAAGAATGTAAATTTAAATTTTATAACATCATGGCCCAATTACTTAACTGCTCTATATTATAATAGAGCTATTGTTTAATTTTTTTTAAACAGACTGAGTGTGTTATGTAATTTATAAATGTATGTAGATTTTATTCAACCTAATCTTATTTATAGAATTTTTGACAACCCACATACTCGAAAATATCAAGACATTTATATTCTGCTTAACATTCTGCTCTCATGATCTTGAAAACTGAAAAAAAAAATATTTTCTTGTCATCTGATTGCCTTGAGCATTCCGGGGAGTATTGCTTACTTACACCGTAATTGTCGATATTCTTTAAGAATCTTAATGTGATTGCAGTAAAATATGTTATGCAATAATTGATAGCTAATTAAACTCTCTTTATATATTTGAAACTTTATCTTTGTCACTTAATCATTGAATTATTATATTAATTGTTATTATTTCTACACAAAGTGTTTTAAAATATATTTTTTGCATATTCCGATTATACACGGCGAGGGTTTTACTGGTCATGTACAAAAATGGCAAAAAACAGGTTCTTAAAAACCTCACCAATATATTTTTATTATTTTATATATAGACTAATTTAATTGATTTCAACTTGGGGGCCATTCACTTATTACGTAACGCTTTTAGGGGGAGGGGGGGGGTCTAAGATTTTGTTACGATTCAAACAAGGAAATTTTTTTTTCATACAAATTTTGTTACGAGGGGGGGGGGGGGCTAAGAAGTCATTTTTTCGCGTTACGTAATAAGTGAACAGCCCCTTGAATAATCTTTTATAACTTTGCAGAGATAAAGCAAATTAATTCCATTATATAACATAAAAGATGTTGTAAAAAAGTTATCAGTACTAAATTGATTTATATACATTTTATTGTAGCACGGGTTATTCTGCGTAACGGTGAAAATTCACATTAATAATTCTATTTGCAAGCTATAATTTCTGTTTATTTATTTCCAATTTTTTCTCCGGATATAAGAAAAAATAATATAACTTTTATTTTTTTCTCCAATTCATTTAAGTGGAAAAAAGCATTTAATTTAATTGTATTCCATTCTTTTGAAAGTTTATGATTTTTCGTTCATTTTATGTTGTTCCTTTTGTTGCCTTTTATTGCCGAACATAATTAAGAAATAAATTGATTGATTTGAAAGAATATCGCAAAAAAAGCAGCAAAAATAAAAATAAAATAAACTCGATGTGTTAAAACTTCTAGGCAGGCTTGTTAAAAGAAATATGAAAAGTTTAAAAGAAATTCTTGATCGCGAAAAAGAACTTATTTTTAAACCGTTATTTTTATCGCATTGTGCTTAATTTACGAAGACTTCTTTTCTTATAATGCTTTAATATTCTTTTTGTTTGTACATAAACTTTTCGTATTGTGTCATATCTGCACAAAAAGAAACAAGAATGACTTCAAAATTTTGGATTTATATAAAACTACGCAGTCGATGATGTAATGATCAAAATTGCTTTTCACAAAGACGAATCTTGGCTTATGAATATAATTTTTAATGATCGTATAGAACTAGGAAGACTAGAAACAAAATCCAGCAATTCAAATTATCTCTCTTTAGATGAGTTCTCTGGTAATAGCGATTATGTATCCACAATGAATTTAATGCTATGTCGTTGTGAAGTAATATAAAAATACCTACAATACTTAGAAAGAATTACACAAAGTGAAGTACAAGAGAATCTTTTCTCTTTAATGTTGAAAGTGTTTGGTTCGTTTATGTTGGTTGGTTAACAACACAAACCAATACGAAGGTGATTGAACTTACTTCTGTATAAATGTATATCCATACTTAATTTTTAAAATCAATGTTAGTTTAATTGTTTTTTTTTTTAAATCATCAAAAAGCTATGAACAATTTTCTTTATAACCTAATGATTACTTCTAGTGTAGTCTAAAATAAGTAGTATGAAACAAAAGCATTTAAAATAATTGATTTGTCAAAAAGTTGTGCCGCACAACATAAGAACCGTAAAGTAACGTGAGATTAGAGTATTTTAAGCATAAGAGTTATGCATTTTTAATGATTGTTATGAAGCTTTGTCAACTTATTACAATGCTATGCTATAATTTTCTTTGATATGCTCGAAAAAATTAAAGAATAATTTTATGTTTCTCTTTGTTCTATTTTTATCTTTCTAGTAAAATGGGAAATTCATTTCCACTAGTCCTCTTATTAATTATAACTTTTAATCTGGTAAGATAAAACATGTGAAAAATGCAAGAGAAAATTGAAAAGTAAAAGGAAATCTTATCTATTCAGGTATCGTCACAATCATCAAGTAGGAAAAACATATTTGGAAATAGACATGAAGTATTCTTTCTAAATTTAGAAGATGGATATTTTGGGTGTCAAGTCAATGAATCAGTAGAATTTTTACAAATTTACGATCTATCAAGGCTATGTGATGGCCTTCAAGATTGTTATATGGGTTCTGATGAGTCAAGAAAAGAACTCAAGTGTACAAGTAAGTCGATGATTTAACGGAATAGCTCAATCAAAGAGCTACTTAAATCAAGTGTAAAATTAACTTAACACTTTTAAATCTTTATTAAATAGATGACTGTGATGGAGATGATGGGTCAACCTGCTCTAACGGAGTGTGTTTAGACCATCAATGTCATTGTAATGATGGTTTTGGCGGATGTAACTGCCAAGTTCCAGGTTAATAATTTAACGTTTCTTTCTATTAAAAAAGTAAACGTGCTAACCTATTATTATTATTGCTATTATCTAAAAACTTTCAGATGAGAATGAGTGTAAATATAGACCGTGTGATGTGTTCGCACATTGTACAAATACCTTAGGTTCGTTTAGTTGTACTTGCTTCCCCGGTTATGCCGGTGATGGTCTTCATTGTGAAGGTATGAATAAAACCATTAATCATAACATAATGAAAAAATAAAAATTTTCATTAAAAAAAAAAACACATATTTCTCGACTAGATATCGACGAATGTTTAGATCCTCATGTTGCGGCACGTTGTGTTGAAAATGCCGAGTGTTGTAATTTACCAGCACATTTTGCGTGCAAATGTAAACCTGGTTATGAAGGAGATGGTGAAGTTTTATGTACAGATATCGACGAGTGTTCTCGACCGGGTACTTGTGGCATAAATACTGAGTGCAATAATACACCAGGAAATTACTCGTGCACATGTAGACAAGGTTTTCAAGGAAATCCTTATGATGGATGTGTGGATATTGATGAATGCAAATTAAATCCAAATTCTTGTGGACCAGGTGCAATTTGTACAAATTTAGAAGGAAGTTATCTTTGTCACTGTCCAGACGGATTTGAAGGGTTCGATGCACAAACTACTGGCTGTGTTGATATAAATGAGTGCAATCGATCACCTTGTAGTCGAAGTGAAGAATGTATTAACGAAGTTGGCGGATACCGATGCCAACAAATAATTAGTAAGTTTCGAATTAGTGTTAATAAGTAATTATTATTTTCAATACTTTATTATCAGATGTTAACGAGTGTTTAAATAATCCTTCGCCATGCGGAAAAAATGCCATATGCACAGACACAATCGGATCATTTACGTGTTCATGCAAACCAGATTATACAGGTGATCCGATGAAAGGATGTGTTGATATTGATGAGTGCACTGCCCTTGAAAAACCATGCGGAAAATTTGCAATATGCGAAAATGCATCACCTGGCTATAATTGTAAATGCTTACAAGGTTATAGAGCTGTGCCTGATGCCAAAATTGCTTGTGAACAAGCTGATGTAGAAATTGGCTGTCACAGCAACTTTGATTGCACAAATAATGCCGAATGTATTGATGGACAGTGCTTCTGTCAAGAGGGTTTTGAAGGATCAGGAACAAATTGCGTAGATATTGATGAATGTAAAAAACAAAAAGACATTTGTGGACCTCGTGCACATTGTATCAACATACAAGGAGGTATGCTTAATCATAATTATTTTTTCAAAAAAATATATAATCTTTTAATATTTCGAAAATTAGGATATAAATGTGAATGCGAAACAGGACTTATAGGTACACCACCAAGACTTCCATGCAAAGAACCATGCGTAAATGTAGAATGCGGTCCACATGCTTACTGCCAAGCTGAAGATAATGAAGCATTTTGTATATGTGAAAAAGGTTGGACATTCTTACCATCTGATATTTCCAAAGGATGCGTTGATATCAATGAATGTGATGTCACTCATGGACCATTTGGAATGTGTGGAATAAATGGATTATGTAGAAATTTGGATGGAAGCTATGAATGTACTTGTGCTGAAGGTTTTACTGGAGATGCAAACAAACAATGTTACGATATCGATGAATGCTCACAAACACTTAATCCATGCGGTGAAAATTCAGTTTGTCAAAATGAGCCTGGTGGATTTAAATGCGTATGCCCTGATGATCTAATTGCTGTTGAAGATTCGGATCCAACAAAAATAAAGTGTATTGCTGTTGTTTCATGCAAAAATAACAACGACTGTCCTGGAAATGCAATTTGTGATCCACATAAACGATGTCTATGTCCTGAACCAAATGTTGGAAATGACTGTAGACATCCTTGTGAAGAATTAAATTGTGGACCAAATGCAAAATGTTTAATGTCAAATGGAGTCGGTACTTGTTTATGTGCGGATGGCTACATTAACTCTGGAGGTACATGCATAGACGTTAATGAATGTTTGAACAATCCATGTGGAGTTAAGGCAATTTGTAACAATCATGCCGGTGGTTATACATGTCAATGTCCAAACGGAATGTCTGGAGATCCATACAAAGGAGGATGTAATGATATTAGGAAAATTGTGTCTTGTAGCGATAAAAATCCATGCCCTACAGGCGAAAAATGTGTTTCGAATCCAGGAGGTTCAAATGTTTGTGTTTGTACCCAAGGTCATACAAGAGATCGAGTTTCGCAGCAGTGTCGTGACATTGATGAGTGTACTGAAAATGCAAAACCAGCTTGTGGTGAGTTAAAAAAACAATATTTTATATACTTTATATCATTCAGTAAATTAAAAACATAATTTAATTATTTACATTGGGTTTCGTTTATAAATGACGATTTATGGAGAGGGGGTGTTAAAACATCTCTAGAACAAGGACCTTTTTGGATGTCATTTATGAACGATTCCTTATCATTTATTTCATTTATCTTTAAATAAATTTAATTATATTATTTTTTTCATTCCAACTCTCAGGTTTGAACGCTCTTTGTAGAAATTTACCAGGAAGCTACGATTGTATATGCGCTGATAATTATGACGGAAATCCATTTAAAATTTGTGAGCAGTGTGAAACTCCGGAATGTAGATGTCAACCACCATACACATTAGTAGGCAAAAATTGTATTCTAGCTGGATGTTCGGATAAACAAAAATGTCCACCAGGAGCAGAATGCATATCAATAACAGGAGGACTTTCTTATTGTGCTTGTCCAAAAGGATTCAGAACCCAACCCGATGGATCGTGTATTGATATTGATGAATGCCATGAAAATTCACAAACTTGCGGATATGATGCAATATGTCAAAACACAGTTGGTGGTATGTAACTTGGTTCAAAATACTTTTTTGGATCTCGGGGCAGTAACTTGATTTTTTTCCCCCGGGATTACTGGATTGATAACTATTTTTGAACCAATCCAAATTTCGGGTTTACCGGTAATACCAAAATTAAAATCACTAATAAAATTTTTTCTACAGGATTTACATGTGCATGTCCACAAGGTTATGATGGAGATCCTTATCATGGCATGTGTTCACTGCCATACAAACGTTGTACATCAGACAACGAATGTGGCGCTAATGAAAAATGTGTACAACCAGGTGAATGTATTTGTCCTCCACCATTCTTTGTTGATGCTGGAAATGCATGTACAAATCCATGTGAGAGATTCGCTTGTGGTATCAACGCTAGATGCTCACCAACAAATCGTAGGTTTTTCAAATAATATCTCTGAAAACTTGTTTTACAAGATTATAATTTTTACAGCTCCTCAATGTATGTGTGAGGCTGGATTCAAAGGAGGTATATTATCTGATAAAATGAGATAAATTGATACATATTTATACTTACAACTTTTGTTTTACAGATCCTCTTCAAGGATGCGAAAGTATTGATGAATGTTTAACCAGTCCATGCGCTTATGGTGCACAGTGCATTAATCAAAAAGGAGGATATCTTTGTCAATGTCCAAATGGGATGTCTGGAGATCCGTACAAGACTGGATGCAACTATGTTGATCCAATTCGTGGAAAAACAGAATGCACAACTAATCTTGATTGCGCTTCAAATCTTATCTGTGATCAAGGATCTTGTATCAGCGCATGCACAAATCTTTTATGCGGCCCAAATGCTTTTTGTGAACCAGAAAATCATGCTGGATGGTGTCGTTGTAAAGTTGGATTTGTAGAAGGACAAAATGGAGAATGCGTATCACGTAAGTACCTCACTGTACTAATACAATTTAACAAGACAATATCAGTTAACGAAAAAATAAAGTAATTGTGTTTTAATATGGTAGTTAATTTACAAAACCTAATTGATAATGTCTCACATACTTGTTGTTCACACATTCATAAAATTTTAATTAATACTAATTAAATAACTTTTCACATCTAACATAATAATAAATTCATGTAGCATGCACGGATTTCCATTGTGCACAAGGAGCACTATGTATTTTAACAACCACAGGACCAACATGCAAATGTCCTTTAGGACAAATAGGAAATCCATTCCCAGGAGGTTCTTGTAGTGTAGATCAATGTTCAACTCAACGCCCATGCATAGATCCTCAAGTTTGTGTTCAAGGTCGTTGTAAGCACAAATGTGATGGAATTGTTTGTGGAGTGGGAGCTATTTGTGACTCAAATACAGGAAAATGCATTTGCGAGCCAAATTTCGTGGGAAGTCCCGATTCAATTTGTATGCCACCGATAAGTTTGCCATCATGTCAACCAGCTTGTGGACCAAATGCTCACTGCGAATATCGTCTATTTGAAACAGTTTGTGTTTGTAATAGTGGTACATTTGGTAATCCATATGAATCCTGTCAAACTGAAAAGATCAAGAAGTGTACAGAAAAATCTTGCGGAGAAAATGCTTTATGTATTCAAGGAGCTAATATTGAATGTCAATGTAAACCTGGTTTTAATGGAAATCCATACACAAATTGTTATGATATAAATGAATGCTCAACACAAATTTGTGGTGAAAATGCTGTGTGCATCAATACCATAGGCTCATTTGACTGTAAATGCAAAGAAAATTATATTGGAAATCCATTTGATATGTGTTCATTGGTTGAAAATAATCTTTGCAATGACCCCAAAACTTGCAAGTGTGATTCAACAAAAGTTTTATGTCCGATTGGATTTAAATGTGAAAAGGGACGATGCAAGAATTTATGCGATAATAAAAAATGCGGACCACATGCTGCATGCAACTCAAACAATGGAGAATGCTCATGTGTTCAAGGGTATGTTGGAAATCCAAATGATTTATCAAAAGGTTGTTTAGCAACAGGTCAATGTAACACGGATTTTGACTGTAAAGATTCAGAAATTTGCTTCAAAAATGGACGTGGATTAAGAAAATGTCTTGAAGGTTGTTCAAAACTTCAATGTGGACCTAACTCAGTGTGTGTAACGACAGAACATAAATCTAGTTGCTTCTGTCTGGATGGCAGTTATAAAGGCAATCCGTATGATAACAATAAAGGATGTCAAGTTGAAGGAAAAGTAATAACACCAATCGGTTGTGATGCCGTTGCATGTGGTAAAAATGAAGTTTGTAAAATTGGAGATAAAGGACCAATATGCTATTGCGATGATCTTTATGTCTGGAATCCAGTAAGTTCTGCCTGTGAAAAACCATCACTACCAGAGTGCTCAAATGATAATGAATGTCCAGAAACTGATGCATGTCGTCCAGATGATTTAGGAGTCTTGAAATGTCGACCTGCATGTGCAGAATTCAGCTGCCCTCAAAACTCGGTATGTGTTGCTGAAAGACATAGTGGATCATGTGTTTGCTTACCTGGATATAGTGGACATGTTAACGATCGTTATGGATGTCGAAATGAGCAGAATAATGAATGTACAACAAGTGCACAATGTGCTGAATCAGAAATGTGTATAAAGCAGCAAGGAGTATCTAAATGTGTATCCGCATGTAGTACTGTTAAATGTGGTAAAAATGCAATATGCATTACAAACAATCATGTAGGACAATGTCAATGTGTAAACGGTGGATTTATCGGAGATCCTTATGATAATTTCAAAGGATGTGAAAAAGTTCCATGTGTGTACAACGAGGACTGTCCACCAACACAACTCTGCAATAGAATGACCAATAAATGCTTCGATATTTGTCAACCTGACACTTGTGGAGAAAATGGAATTTGTGTCGTTCGTGAAAACGAAAGAGCAAGTTTGTGCCGTTGCCAACCAGGTTTTCGTCCAAATCCTATTCCAGAAGTTGGTTGTATACAAGACGAACAATGTTCATCTACCAGTTGTCATCCTTCTGCAATTTGTGAAGTCACTGCAAGTGGACCGGTATGTAAATGTCCGACATCAAAACATGTCGGAGACCCATACACAAAAGGATGTATTCTACAAGTTGAAGGCGAATGTGCAAGTAACGAAGATTGCCCACTTTTAGGTTTCGTGTGCAAAAATAGAAAATGCATAAATGTGTGTGAAAAAGAATGTGGACCAAATGCATTATGTAAAGTAAATTCAAAAGGAAAACCAGAATGTTCATGCCCTGGAAGATTTGTTTCTCTGTCAGGAAATCCTAAAGATGGTTGTTTAAGAGCCTCAGAAAAATGCTCAAGTGATACTGAATGTGAAAATGGAGTTTGTGATCATGGACATTGTAGATTTGTTTGCAAAAAATCTAATGATTGTTTGGATGGTGAAAAGTGTATTAATAATTTATGTACACTTTCATGTATCCATAATTCTAATTGTAATCAAGATCAAGTATGCATAAATTCGGCTTGCGAAATTGGTTGTAGAAATAGCAATAATTGTGCAAATGATGAAGCCTGTATTGATAACAAATGTCAAAATCCATGTGAATTGAATATTTGTGGACCCAATAGTAAATGTATTATACGTGATCATAAGATCATATGTGAATGTCCAAAAGGATTTGAGCCCAATCCAACACCTGATCAAGGATGCATAAGAGTTCCAACAAGTTGTCAAAATAATCGACAATGCCCAAAATCATTTGAATGCGTTTCTGGTAGATGTAACTTAGTCTGTAAAACCGATTCTAACTGTGCTGTTGGAGAGCGATGCTCAAACGGAATGTGTTCCAAAATATGTTATACAAGCAATAATTGCTTACCTGGTGAAATTTGCATCAACAATTTGTGTGAAGCCGGATGTTTTTCTGATGCTGATTGTCCTCATTTAGAAATTTGTCGTCAAACAAAATGCGTATGCGATAAAGGATTTACTGATACGCCAAATGGATGTGCTGATGTAGATGAGTGCTTAGATCACCCTTGCCACTCTTCTGCTGTATGTGAAAACACTTTGGGTTCATACCGTTGTCTTTGTCCAGATTCACAAGTTGGAGATCCATATGGTAGTGCTGGATGCAAAAAATCTGATGAATGCAAAAGAAATTCTGACTGTGCTAATAACTTACTATGTGAAAACAAAAAATGTGTCGATCCATGTGCTCTTGGTACTAAGCAATGCAGTAGTAATGCAATATGCCAAATTGAGGATCATATTCCAAGTGAGTATTTTTTAACAGTAAGATATTTCATAACGTAATATTTATTTAAATTTAATTTCTCAGCATGTTTGTGCCCTATTGGATATTTGGGTGACCCAGATAAACCAGAAATCGGATGCTTCCGTGTTGAATGTACTAATTCCGATGACTGTCCAATGAATAAGGCGTGTGATTTAGAAAGAAATCGTTGCATAAACCCTTGTGATTTTATCTCATGTGGAAAAGGAGTTTGTCAAGTTGATGATCATGATCCTATTTGTGTGTGTTATGAAGGATACATGCTAAATAATGAAAAATGTGAAGATATCAATGAATGTAAACAAAACCCATGTCATGCCACTGCAATTTGTGAGAATACTCCAGGAAATTATATCTGTTCCTGCCCAAAGAATATGATTGGTGATCCTGTCTATGAAGGTTGTCGCTTACAAAATGAATGCTTTTCGGATGGAGATTGTCCAGAAACAGCAGCATGTAGCAATGATAAAAAATGTATCAATCTTTGCGAAACATCAAACACTTGTGGTAAAAATTCAGTATGTAGCATGCGTGACCATAAAGTAACTTGTTCATGCGGACCAAATACTAGAGGTGATCCAATGATTCAATGTGACCAAATTGAATGCTCTGATGACTTTGATTGCGATTTGATAAAATCATGTGTTAATTCAAAATGTTTAGACAGTTGTTCTTTACCAAATGCTTGCGGAAAGAATGCAGTTTGTAGCACAAACAATCATGTAAGAACTTGTGAATGTTTACCAGGATTTACTGGCAATCCAATGTTGGGCTGTATTTCTATCCAATATTGCAGTTCTGATAGAGAGGTAAAGATAAATTTTATTATTTCTGTCTGTGTACTAATAACACCTTCTATTTCTTATAATTAGTGTGCCACTGGAGGAACAAAATGTAGTAGCAGCGGTGTTTGTTCAACCATTTGTGCAAATTCGAGAGATTGTCTGAGTGATCAGCTTTGTATCAACTCAGTTTGTCTTCCAACATGTAAGAGCAACACAACGTGTCCTCAAAGTCAATTTTGTTTGAATAATATTTGCACAACTGAACCCAAATGTCAAAGCGATGATGATTGTGACATTGATGAATACTGTCTTAAAGAATCAGGAAAATCTGAATGTAAGAGCGTCTGCAAATCACGTTTCTTGTGTGGGCGAAATGCTGACTGTATAGCTAGAAACCACTTAGCTGAATGCCAATGTAAGCCTGGATTTTATTTAGATGGAAAAACATGCAAAAAGATTGAATGCACTTCAAATGATGACTGCAGTGGAGATAAGAAATGTGAAAACAATGTCTGCAAGATTGTATGCTTAATGGAAAATGTTTGTGGAACAAACGCGCTATGTATCGGAGAAAATCATGAAATGAGTATGTTAAAAAAATTTAAAGTTTATTTATTCAAATTACTTATGATTTTTTTTTAAAAAAATAGCTTGTCAATGTACACCAGGTCATACTGGTGATCCTAAAGTTCAATGTAGTTTGATTGACTTTTGCGAAAGTAATCCTTGTGGTCCAGGAGCTTCATGTAAAAACTCAAGAGGTTCATACAGATGCTTCTGTAAAGGCTCAGACATGGTCGGAGATCCATATACTATTGGATGTCGCAAAGCTGTTGAATGCCAAATAAATGATGACTGTCCAAAATCTGCAAAATGTGTTCATGAAAATGGAGAACCAAAATGTCGAGATGTTTGTGAAGGTATTACTTGTGGAAGAAATGCAGAATGCTCAAGTGATAACCATGCAAGTATTTGTCTATGTCGTGATGGATATGAGGGAAATCCAAAGGATCGTATACATGGATGTAAACCAATTCCAAAACCATGTCAGAATAATAATGATTGTCAAAATGATGCTTACTGCAATGGAGGCATCTGCAAACCTTTATGTCATTCAGATGCTGAGTGTCAACCAAACCAAGTTTGTTTGAGTAATCAGTGCATAAATCCTTGTGAAATTTCATCAAATGCTTGCGGAATTAATGCCGATTGCTTGACAAATAATCATGTCAAAAGTAAGTTATTCTAAAATTTGTTTTCTATTAATCTTTAATAAAAATTCGTTTTTCTGTATAGCATGCTCATGTCCAGATGGTTTCACTGGTAGTTCAGATGTTGAATGTGTACGAATACCAGTTGCTTGTATAACATCGAATGACTGTAGTGAAGGAAAGTCATGTATTGATTCCATGTGCTTACCAGGTTGTCAAAATGATCAAGAATGTGCACTCAATGAGAAATGTATTAACAATCAATGTATGTTGACGTGTCGTGTTGATAATGATTGCTTCTTAGGACATATTTGTCTGCATAATCGTTGTGAAATTGGATGTTCTAATAATGAAGACTGTTCACCAAGTGAATCGTGTAGCAACAATAAGTGTAGACCACTTTGTGAAGACAATCCTTGTGGTCCAGGTGCAATTTGTGGCATTGTTAATCAAAAAGCTACTTGCTCATGTGGCACTGGAATGGTTCCAAGTCCAACAGCGAAAATTGGTTGTGTAAGATCACCACCAATTACATGTTCAGAAAATAGAGATTGCAGTACAGATAAAGCTTGCTTTAATGGATTATGTTATCAACTTTGTGGCAACGATCAGCAATGTTTGAATAATGAACATTGTGACAATGGAGCATGCAAACCTATGTGTCATAGAGATGGAGATTGTAATAGTGGTGAAATTTGTAAAGAATTTACTTGTGTCACAGGTTGTAGATCAAACATTGGTTGTCCATCTAATTTGGCTTGTGTAAATAATCGATGTACAGACATTTGCCGACAGAACATAGAATGTGGAATCAATACAGAATGCACAATGGTTAACCATAAAGCCACATGTAAATGCATGAAAGGTTTAATAGGAGATCCATCAGTTGGCTGTAAATATCCAATTACTTCATGTCAGAATGAACAAGAGTGCGCCAAAGATCAATCATGCTATGGCAATCAGTGCAGAGTAAAATGTGGAAGCAACCAAAATTGTTTGTCTGATGAAAAATGTGTTAAAGGCATATGCAGATCAGTATGTAATTCTGATGGTGAATGTGATGCTGGTTTCATTTGTAGAAACAGACAATGCGAGGTCGGATGTAGAAGTGACAATTCCTGTTCTGATAACGAAGCATGCATTAATAATCAATGTACTGATCCTTGTCAAACTAATAATCAATGTGGTACATGTGCTGAGTGTACAGTATACAATCATGGCATGCAATGCAAATGTAAACCAAATATGTTTGGTGATCCTCTCATTCGTTGTACTATGTCACTTGAATCGTGTCATTCAAATTGCGAATGTGATGAATCTAAAAAATACTGTATTAGCAAATGCAAAGCATCTAAAGATTGTGCATGTGGTCAAGTATGTTCCAGAGGAATATGTCGCCATCAATGTGATCAAAGAAAATGTGCACCTGGTCAGATCTGCAAAGATACAAGAGAAGGACAAATTTGTATTGAAGGCTGTAAGACTAGCTCAGACTGTTCTGAAGATATGATTTGTGCAAATGGAAAGTGTAAAAATGCATGTGACAATGTAAAATGTGGGAAAGATGCAGTTTGCCGAATCACTGATCACAAAGGTAGCATATTCTTTATTTTATCTTATATCCAATTATTCAATTTTCATTACATCAATAGCAATTTGTTTATGTCCTGATGGATATACTGGTCAACCAAGTACACGATGCGTTCCATTCGAGTGCAATACGAATCAAGATTGTGACTTTGATAAAAAGTGTGTTGAAGGATCTTGTAAAAATCCATGCCTTGAAAGACAAATTTGTGGTGTTAATGCGCAATGCAGGTCAGAAAATCATGAAGCCAACTGTGTCTGTTTACCAAATTATGTTGGCGATGCAAAAGTACTGTGTGATGAGTTAAAAACTGCTCTCTGTCAACCTAATTCATGTGGAATAAATGCAATGTGCAGAGCAGATTCAGATAGAACGATTAGATGTTACTGCCCACCTCTTTATCCAAATGGAGACCCAAAGATAGAATGTAAATCCTTTGAAATGATTTATTTAATTCTTTTCTCCACTTTTCAGATTATAAGCATCGAATGTGTGCACCAAATGATATTAAACAAAAGTTTCATGTTTACTAATATTCGTTAATAACTTCAAAATTCATTTTGCACAGTTCTAATGTTCATGAAAATACAAAATTTTATCTTAACAGCTTTACTGCTTTAATATAATTCATGTCGCTAATGCTCTCAATACAATTATTTTCACAGGTACAAGTTATCAGAAACCTCAGGACTGCAGAGTAAATGGATGCAAAGAAGGAGAATGTGTAGCGTATGGTAGAGATTATGTCTGCAAGCAGAGTGAGTACAAAAGAAATCTCAAAAATATTGAAATATTTTTGCTTTATTTAGATTCATATAGTTTTTATAAAGCACGAGCAATTAAAATTCATTTTTAATTATTCAATTTTACTCGCATACATAGAATAACTTTTGATATAATACAAAAATAAGAATGTGAAGATAAAAGGATGTGTAATCATTGGCTAATAGGAAAAATTAAATAATTGATTAATTAGTTGACTAAATTAAAATATTCACATTTTCACATTAGTTATTCACATACGTTTGTGGTTGTCATTTTATAATCATTTTTTTACCATTTTTCGATGTAAAATTTTATTTATTTTTGTTTTGTTTTGTTTTCAAAATTTTGTTTTTGCCATAACATTGTTCGTTGCTTATCAATATTTATTCACATTGTCATGAAAAAAAACATACACAATTTTTTTTTAACATCTTTGAAACATTCAAGCATCTGAACAAAATTAGGTTATTTTTTTTTGAAAGTTGAAATTTCATTTGAATGAATATCATCAATGTCACTGTCGAATTCCCAATCTGCCTATTAATTATAATTTTTAAAAATTTATTATTCTTTCCTATATGCCTTTCATCCCTCATCATCCCATCCCATTATACAAAATTGTGCAATTTTTGTTATTTTTTTTTTAATTTAGCTTTGTTCGTTTTCAAATCCACAGTGATAAACGCACGTTCTGTAGTTAATCTGAATATTTTTTTGTAAATAGATGGTTAAAATTGATATTTACTTTAGTTAGATTTTAAGTACAAACATGAAAAGTGTTCAGAACCAAAATTATTATAATCTATGAATAGTCAGATTGGGAATTGTGTGGACGGGACATTCTCACATAGAAATTGAAATTAGTTTGCAATTAGGCTGGCTCGGATGTATACTTGTACAGTTTTTACATGTATTTTGAAATTCAATATTTACTTAAAATGAGTGTTTGAAGTGAGAAATTTATAGTAAAGCTTGCGCATTTTCCAATTATAGCACCATATACATAAATTTCTATGTAAATACTTTTCTTTAAGTCTATAAAAATGTGTATTTTTCCTTTTTCCATTTTTCACTTTTTCTGATATTTTCTCAATTCGCATTTTTTGTTTAAAAAAATACAAGACACAAAAAATCCTCAATCTAGTCTGATGTTTACGAAAAAATAATCTATAAAAAGAGTCCAATCCTTTTATTTCCGGGCACGAGCGCATGTGTTGGATGTTTATTTATTCCCTGGTACAATCAAGATATTGTGAGAAGAAATCCCTTACACACAGTTCTCCAATTTGTCGCTTTTGATTTGCTTTTTGAAAAGAAAAAAAAAAATGTCATAGAAAAATTATAGATTAGAAAAAAAATTTAAATTTTTACAAATCTCCTTTTGTTAATATTACAATTTTTGTTTATTCTTTTGCAACAACACATTATGTATAATCATTCACCCGATCTACATCACCGATCAATACAAATTCTATTCACTTCTTTTATAAAATATGATAAAAAATTACATACACGAATGCAAATATAATTTATTTGTGAAAACTTCCATCACATTCTAACAAATATTAACATTGGCAAAACAAAAAGGCCGAGATTGTTTAAGCGATAATGATTGTCCAAGTGAAATGGCTTGCACGAATATAGGCAAATGTATTGATCCATGTGCAAGGCGTGATGTGTGCGGAGAGAATGGTCTCTGTAAAACTATATTACATCGACCACGCTGTTCGTGCCCCAGCTGTCATGTTGGACGACCTGAAAAGAAATGTATACCAGAACCAAATTGTGAAGAGATGACAACTCTTAGTCCAAGAATACCGGATACAGTTTTATGCCAAACCCATAATGATTGTCATGATAACTTAGTTTGTTCTGATAATGGAATTTGTGAAGATCCATGCGCAAAAATTTATTGTGAAGAATCGAAAAAATGTGTTGTGACTCGTCATAATCCCGTCTGCGTATGCAAATATGGCTTTGTTGTCAATGATAATGGAGAATTAACATGTGCAAATGAAAAGAAAGAATGCTCTAATGATGATGAGTGCGAATCTAATATGGCTTGTATATCAGGACGATGTAGAAATCCATGTGTTGCAACATCACAAAAATCATCACCATGTCCTCCAGATAAAAGTTGTTCTGTTTTAAATCACAAAGCCGTTTGTATTTGCATGGAAGACTGTGCTCCATCTATATCCATATGTTTGCGTGATAATGGCTGTCCAGAGGGTTTGGCATGTCGCAATTTCCGTTGTGTAAATCCATGTGACACAGCAACATGTGCCGAAGACTCTCCATGCTACGTTGAAGATCATAGACCAATTTGTAAATTCTGCCCTCCAGGATTTGTTAAAGATTTTAAAAGCGGATGTCTGAAAGGTAAAACTTAGATGAAAGCGGATAGCGCTGTTTCAATTCAAACTCCTTTTCAACAAAAAAAAAATTAAAAACTTATGCCTTTCTCTTCTACTTGTCTAAAAATATTATTTCCTTCAACTATCACAAATTAGAATACACAATTTACAAAAAATAGCTTAAAATTCAACTGTCAGTTACCAAAATTAAGAATAGCAGATGTACAATTATCATTTAACCACTATTTTCTTTAATAATTTTTTCAAGACTGCCTCATAATTTGACTTTGAAAATTAAACTTAAAAAAATGTCTTGTACAAAACCTTTTTCTACTTAAACGATGCTTTATAATGCATACTTTATGAATATTACTGAGTTTCTGATTAGCTATAGCTTTTTGACAAAAAAAAAACATGTTCGTGTCAATAATATTTTTAAATTAAAACAAAATAAATTGTTTTTACACGTTCACACATGCTCATGCTCACCTTTCAACAATCCTACAATTAAACTATACACCTGTGCTTTCTTACACTACGTCTTCTGTCTATAACCTATAATTATCTCTAAACTATTCTCTTCTCTTCTCTCCTCTTCATCCCATCTGGTTCGGGAAAATGAGTATTCTGCCAGAAAAAAATATTCGTTTATTCGTCCTTTACAATTTTTTTTTTAAACAATCTCCTAATAACGCTTTATTCACCCTTTTAAGCTTATTGCTATTTATGCACTGATATAAATAATTTTATAATCAATTTTTATGTAGATACATTAGATATATTACAGAAGATAATTATTATAAATATGTTATATAAAATGTTGAAAAATTTCACAGCCAATGAAGACAAAATTAGCAAGCAAAATTGCTCGAAAAATGCGGATTGTGAAGATACGATGCAGTGTCTTCAAGGAGTATGTTTCAATCCATGTTCTGCTACAGTTTGTGGCGAATCTGCTACATGCTACGTTAAAAATCATTCCTATTATTGCATACCTAATCCTAGTCCTAATAAATCCAGTAGTTTAAAGCCGAAAGAGTCAAAAGTAATATCTTCTCAAGATCACAATACTGAAATACCTCATTACACTAACGACTTCGAAACTACTACCTTAGTTTATAAATTGCAAAATGCAACCATTAAAACGGATAATATAGCAAGCAACAATGAAGCTTCAACCAAACAATATCCTTCAAATAATATTGATGATTTAGAAATATCAAACACTGATACAACAAGACAAACTTTAGAAGAAAGCAAACTTTTAGAATCAACAACACAGTTTGATGAATTGCACACAATAAGTTCTGAAATGGCAGAAAGAGTTACGATTGGGTCCAATGTTGTGGTTTCTTCAATTCAGACAAAAAGCTCACCAAAAGAAACTACTTCTACAGAACGTGATGTTCAAACAACTACCCAATCTGATGAATCTTATACAATAAGTTCTGAAACAACCGGAAAAGTTACGATTGGGTCCAATCTAGTGTTTTCTTCATTTTCTTCAGATCAGACAACAAACTCACCAAAAGAAACTACTTCTATAGAACATGATGTTCAAACACCTACCCAATCTGATGAATCTTATACAAAAAGTTCTGAAACAACCGGAAAAGTTACGATTGGGTCCAATGTTGTGGTTTCTTCAAGTCAGACAACAAACTCACCAAAAGAAACTACTTCTATAGAACATGATGTTCAAACAACTACCCAATCTGATGATTCTTATACAATAAGTTCTGAAACAACCGGAAAAGTTACGAGTGGGTCCAATCTTGTGGTTTCTTCAGGTCAGACAACAAGCTCTCCAAAAGAAACTACTTCTTTAGAAAAAGATGTTCAAACAAGTACCCAATCTGATGAATCTTATACAATAAGTTCTGAAACAACCGGAAAAGTTACGATTGGGTCCAATCTTGTGGTTTCTTCAGGTCAGACAACAAGCTCACCAAAAGAAACCACTTTATCAGAACATGATATCCAAACAACTACACAACCTGATGAATCTTATACAATAAATTCAGATACAACCGAAAAAGTACGGATTGGATCCAATCTTGTGGTTTCTTCGGGTCAGACAACAAACTCACCAAAAGCAACTTCTTCATCAGAACATGATATTCAAACAACCACACAATTGTATGATTCTTATACTATTAGTTCTGAAACAACTGGGAAAGCCATAAATGGATCCAATCTAGTAGATTCATCAAGTCAAGCACCAAGCTCACCAAAAGAAACTACTTCTATAGAACATGATGTTCAAACAACTACCCAATCTGATGAATCTTATACAATAAGTTCTGAAACAACCGGAAAAGTTACGATTGGGTCCAATCTTGTGGTTTCTTCGGGTCAGACAACAAGCTCTCCAAAAGAAACTACTTCTCCAGAAAAAGATGTTCAAACAACTACCCAATCTGATGAATCCTATACAATAAGTTCTGAAACAACCGGAAAAGTTACGAGTGGGTCCAATCTTGTGGTTTCTTCAAGTCAGACAACAAGCTCTCCAAAAGAAACTACTTCTTTAGAAAAAGATGTTCAAACAAGTACCCAATCTGATGAATCTTATACAATAAGTTCCGAAACAACTGGTAAAGTTACGATTGGGTCCAATCTTGTGGTTTCTTCAAGTCAGACAACAAGCTCTTTAAAAGAAACTACTTTATCAGAACATGATATCCAAACAACTACACAACCTGATGAATCTTATACAATAAATTCAGATACAACCGGAAAAGATACGATTGGGTCCAATGTTGTGGTTTCTTCAACTCAGACAACGAGCTCACCAAAAGCAACTTCTTCATCAGAACGTGATATTCAAACAACCACACAATTGGACGATTCTTATACTATAAGTTCTGAAACAACTGGGAAAGCCACGAATGGATCCAATCTAGTAGATTCATCAAGTCAAGCACCAAGCTCACCAATAGAAACTACTTCATCAGAACATGATATTCAAACAACTACACAATCTGATGAATCTTATACAATAAGTTCCGAATCAACCGGAAAAGTTACGATTGGATCCAATCTTTTGGTTTCTTCAGGTCAGACAACAAGCTCATCAAAAGCAACTTCTTCATCAGAACATGATATTCAAACAACCACACAATTGGACGATTCTTATACTATTAGTTCTGAAACAACTGGGAAAGCCATAAATGGATCCAATCTAGTAGATTCATCAAGTCAAGCACCAAGCTCTCCAATAGAAACTACTTCATCAGAACATGATATTCAAACAACTACACAATCTGATGAATCTTATACAATAAGTTCCGAATCAACCGGAGAGGTTACGATTGGATCCAATCTTGTGGTTTCTTCAAGTCAGACAACAAGCTCTTTAAAAGAAACTACTTTATCAGAACATGATATCCAAACAACTACACAACCTGATGAATCTTATACAATAAATTCAGATACAACCGAAAAAGTTACGATTGGATCCAATCTTTTGGTTTCTTCAGGTCAGACAACAAGCTCATCAAAAGCAACTTCTTCATCAGAACATGATATTCAAACAACCACACAATTGGACGATTCTTATACTATTAGTTCTGAAACAACTGGGAAAGCCATAAATGGATCCAATCTAGTAGATTCATCAAGTCAAGCGCCAAGCTCACCAGTAGAAACTACTTCATCAGAACATGATATTCAAACAACTACACAATCTGATGAATCTTATACAATAAGTTCCGAAACAACCGGAAAAGTTACGATTGGGTCCAATCTTGTGGTTTCTTCAAGTCAGACAACAAGCTCTTTAAAAGAAACTACTTTATCAGAACATGATATCCAAACAACTACACAACCTGATGAATCTTATACAATAAATTCAGATACAACCGAAAAAGTTACGATTGGATCCAATCTTTTGGTTTCTTCAGGTCAGACAACAAGCTCATCAAAAGCAACTTCTTCATCAGAACATGATATTCAAACAACCACACAATTGGACGATTCTTATACTATTAGTTCTGAAACAACTGGGAAAGCCATAAATGGATCCAATCTAGTAGATTCATCAAGTCAAGCGCCAAGCTCACCAGTAGAAACTACTTCATCAGAACATGATATTCAAACAACTACACAATCTGATGAATCTTATACAATAAGTTCCGAAACAACCGGAAAAGATACGATTGGGTCCAATGTTGTGGTTTCTTCAACTCAGACAACGAGCTCACCAAAAGCAACTTCTTCATCAGAACGTGATATTCAAACAACCACACAATTGGACGATTCTTATACTATAAGTTCTGAAACAACTGGGAAAGCCACGAATGGATCCAATCTAGTAGATTCATCAAGTCAAGCACCAAGCTCACCAATAGAAACTACTTCATCAGAACATGATATTCAAACAACTACACAATCTGATGAATCTTATACAATAAGTTCCGAATCAACCGGAAAAGTTACGATTGGATCCAATCTTTTGGTTTCTTCAGGTCAGACAACAAGCTCATCAAAAGCAACTTCTTCATCAGAACATGATATTCAAACAACCACACAATTGGAAGATTCTTATACTATTAGTTCTGAAACAACTGGGAAAGCCATAAATGGATCCAATCTAGTAGATTCATCAAGTCAAGCACCAAGCTCACCAATAGAAACTACTTCATCAGAACATGATATTCAAACAACTACACAATCTGATGAATCTTATACAATAAGTTCCGAATCAACCGGAAAAGTTACGATTGTGTCCAATCTTGTGGTTTCTTCAAGTCAGACAACAAGCTCTTTAAAAGAAACTACTTTATCAGAACATGATATCCAAACAACTACACAACCTGATGAATCTTATACAATAAATTCAGATACAACCGGAAAAGTTACGATTGGGTCCAATGTTGTGGTTTCTTCAACTCAGACAACGAGCTCACCAAAAGCAACTTCTTCATCAGAACGTGATATTCAAACAACCACACAATTGGACGATTCTTATACTATAAGTTCTGAAACAACTGGGAAAGCCACGAATGGATCCAATCTAGTAGATTCATCAAGTCAAGCACCAAGCTCACCAATAGAAACTACTTCATCAGAACATGATATTCAAACAACTACACAATCTGATGAATCTTATACAATAGGTTCCGAATCAACCGGAAAAGTTACGATTGGATCCAATCTTTTGGTTTCTTCAGGTCAGACAACAAGCTCATCAAAAACAACTTCTTCATCAGAACATGATATTCAAACAACCACACAATTGGACGATTCTTATACTATTAGTTCTGAAACAACTGGGAAAGCCATAAATGGATCCAATCTAGTAGATTCATCAAGTCAAGCACCAAGCTCACCAATAGAAACTACTTCATCAGAACATGATATTCAAACAACTACACAATCTGATGAATCTTATACAATAAGTTCCGAATCAACCGGAGAGGTTACGATTGGATCCAATCTTTTGGTTTCTTCAGGTCAGACAACAAGCTCACCAAAAGCAACTTCTTCATCAGAACATGATATTCAAACAACCACACAAATGGACGTTTCTTATACTATTAGTTCTGAAACAACTGGGAAAGCCACGAATGGATCCAATCTAGTAGATTCATCAAGTCAAGCACCAAGCTCACCAATAGAAACTACTTCATCAGAACATGATATTCAAACAACTACACAATCTGATGAATCTTATACAATAAGTTCCGAATCAACCGGAAAAGTTACGATTGGGTCCAATCTTGTGGTTTCTTCAAGTCAGACAACAAGCTCTTTAAAAGAAACTACTTTATCAGAACATGATATCCAAACAACTACACAACCTGATGAATCTTATACAATAAATTCAGATACAACCGGAAAAGTTACGATTGGGTCCAATGTTGTGGTTTCTTCAACTCAGACAACGAGCTCACCAAAAGCAACTTCTTCATCAGAACGTGATATTCAAACAACCACACAATTGGACGATTCTTATACTATAAGTTCTGAAACAACTGGGAAAGCCACGAATGGATCCAATCTAGTAGATTCATCAAGTCAAGCACCAAGCTCACCAATAGAAACTACTTCATCAGAACATGATATTCAAACAACTACACAATCTGATGAATCTTATACAATAAGTTCCGAATCAACCGGAAAAGTTACGATTGGATCCAATCTTTTGGTTTCTTCAGGTCAGACAACAAGCTCATCAAAAGCAACTTCTTCATCAGAACATGATATTCAAACAACCACACAATTGGACGATTCTTATACTATTAGTTCTGAAACAACTGGGAAAGCCATAAATGGATCCAATCTAGTAGATTCATCAAGTCAAGCACCAAGCTCACCAATAGAAACTACTTCATCAGAACATGATATTCAAACAACTACACAATCTGATGAATCTTATACAATAAGTTCCGAATCAACCGGAAAAGTTACGATTGGGTCCAATCTTGTGGTTTCTTCAAGTCAGACAACAAGCTCTTTAAAAGAAACTACTTTATCAGAACATGATATCCAAACAACTACACAATCTGATGAATCTTATACAATAAGTTCCGAATCAACCGGAAAAGTTACGATTGGATCCAATCTTTTGGTTTCTTCAGGTCAGACAACAAGCTCATCAAAAGCAACTTCTTCATCAGAACATGATATTCAAACAACCACACAATTGGACGATTCTTATACTATTAGTTCTGAAACAACTGGGAAAGCCATAAATGGATCCAATCTAGTAGATTCATCAAGTCAAGCACCAAGCTCACCAAAAGAAACTACTTCATCAGAACATGATATTCAAACAACTACACAATCTGATGAATCTTATACAATAAGTTCCGAATCAACCAGAAAAGTTACGATTGGATCCAATCTTTTGGTTTCTTCAAGTCAGACAACAAGCTCTTTAAAAGAAACTACTTTATCAGAACATGATTTCCAAACAACTACACAACCTGATGAATTTTATACAATAAATTCAGATACAACCGAAAAAGTTACGATTGGATCCAATCTTGTGGTTTCTTCGGGTCAGACAACAAGCTCACCAAAAGCAACTTCTTCATCAGAACATGATATTCAAACAACTACACAACCTGATGAATCCTATACAATAAATTCAGATACAACCGGAAAAGTTACGATTGGGTCCAATGTTGTGGTTTCTTCAATTCAAACAACGAGCTCACCAAAAGCAACTTCTTCATCAGAACATGATATTCAAACAACTACACAATCTGATGCATCCTATACAATAAGTTCTGAAACAACCGGAAAAGTTACGATTGGATCCAATCTTTTGGTTTCTTCAGGTCAGAGAACAAGCTCACCAAAAGCAACTTCTTCATCAGAACATGATATTCAAACAACTACACAATCAGATGATTCTTATACTATAAGTTCTGAAACAACTGAGAAAGCCACGAATGGATCCAATCTAGTAGATTCATCAAGTCAAGCACCAAGCTCACCAATAGAAACTACTTCATCAGAATATGATATTCAAACAACTACACAATCAGATGAATCTTATACATTAGGTTTTGAAACAACGACACCAATTGAAACTACTTTAATTGAAAAAGCAACAAAAGGATATAAATCAGAATACTATCCAAGTCAAACTACAAGTTCATCATTGAAAACCACTGTTTTACGAAAGGATATTCAAGCCACTACTAATTTTGATGATACGTATACAGTTCAAACAACTGATAAATTTACCAGTGAATCTAAACTGAATGAAAGCAACTTTAAAGCTACAACTATGAGTGATGAATTTTTGGCCACTGAGAATTCAATCTCTCCTTTTCAAAATTCATCTAAACAAGACAGAAAAGATGACCAAATTGATGATAAGGAAATTGCAACAACAACTTCTCGAGCATTTAGTATTAAATATAATGATAATATAGAAACTCTTGGAGTAATCAATAGAACAACTCCATCTGATCATGAGTATTTAGATTTAAGGAAACCAAATACTGAGCATAATACTACGATGAAAACTCTTACGACAACTCCAAAGACTAAAAGCGAGGAAAATGAATATTTACTAGAAAATGAGAACGTTACAACTATTGTTTCTGAAGAAACTACAGAAAGTATAGAAGATATTACTACTCCAGACTCAAATGATTGTCTCGTTGATAATGATTGCTTTAATAATTTCCTTTGTATTAACCAAACATGTACAGATCCTTGTTCCTATCCTTTAAATCTGAACAAATCATACGCATGTTTATGCTCTGGTACAGATTCTGCCACTGAGATTAATTGTCGAGAAGAATCAGGTAATCATAATAGAGAAATATTTTATAATATGGTCATAAAATGCTTTAGTTGAAATCAATGTTTCAATCATATCATCAAAAGACAATGTATATGATTCCGTAAATTATTGGATAAACTTTAAAGGATGTTTTTTTATAGAGCCATTTAAAATCTTATAGTCTTCATTCTTCACCCATTCTCTATTATGGTGAGATTACCAAAGAAACGATAGATCTCATCAAATATGATTTACTGCAGAAGCTTCTGCAGCATGGTTTGATGCATGAAAAAGTACAAACTTAAACTTTATTACTGTTCTTCTGCTGAAATTTTATATCCTTCGTTGTACCTGATCTCTTAGTGAAAATTTTGGACTTTTATCTCTATCGTAGTAAACCGTTGTGATTTTAGAAATATCATATCATTATCGTAGTCAATGTTTAGTTTACATAGTCATCATATTCATATTTAGAAAAATGTAAAATGTAGAAATTTTTCGTAATTTACTTTGTTTGTATATAGATTATAGAGTATTTTTCAATCTTTTTATTCACTTATGTATCTACAGCATTAACACACATGTATTAAATGCTTGTTATGGTGATGGTTTGGTGAGAGAAATATAACGAACAGTATAAATTCAGGTGTCAATATTTATTTCATTCATACCTAGATACATAAATATAAAAAATTCGATATTTTAATATTTTCTGTTTAAAATGTTCAAATAAATGTAGAAGCTGGATGCAGATCAAATGAAGAATGTCCTTCACATAAAGCTTGCATAAATAATGTATGCTTAGATGTTTGCGGTACTCCTGAACTTAATCCTTGTAAAAATCAAGATTGCCAAGTGATGGATCATCAAGCCGTTTGCATTAAAGGTAATTTTTATCTGCAAAAAAATTCATCTATTTATTTCTAATATTCTGAATTTATTGTTCAAGTTTGTCAATGCCAAAAACAAACAGACTGTCCAAACAATGCCAAATGCGATGGATGTAATTGCATAATACGTATGTTAATCAAAATCTTTATTGAATTGTTTGTTTTTAAATTATATAAATAAAATTATTACAGAACATGATCCAATAGCTGTTGAAGGATGTGAACATTGTCCACCTGGAACAAAGTGTGATGTTAGTACGGGTGCATGCATAAGAGGTATGAAATTTTTATTCCATCTCTATTTCGAATCATGCTTTCTAAATTTTAAACTTAATAAAAAGCTAAGGAATGACACATGCTCATTTTTAAACACATTAATAATATTTTGCTTTTTCGTAAGTATGGCTTTAATTAATTTCAAAATTTTAATGATTTTTATTCAGGATTTCAAATATATAACTTATTGTTTTACTCATATTAAATAAAAAGAACTCATTCCTTAATTTTTCACTTGCAAAAAAGACATTTAATGCACAAATTAATACAAATTCATTCATAATCTTATTAATAACCAGAACCATTGATGCCGAAAAAACCTGAACTGTGTAGTTCGGATAATGATTGTATCGAGACTGAAACATGTTATATGGGCTTTTGTGTTGATCCATGTCAATTCCAAAATGTGTGCCCTAATAACGCCATTTGCATTTCAAAGTTACACCGGCCTTTATGCATTTGTAAAAATGGGGAAACTTATTTAAATTGCACCTCACATGAACTCTGTAAGAACATGACTTTTAACTTACACATCCATTTACATAAATATACATATAAATATAAATATTATAACCTATGCATTAAAAATAATTAATTACGCTTTTTTGTCACAAAAATGTGGATTTTTAATCTAATGAGGTTGAAAGTTGTAATTAAATTTGTATAAAATGTAGACAAATATTTAGCACAATTTTTAAATGTTTCCCTTTTTTGTGTGTCCACACTCGTGTTTTTTTATATATGCACAGTATGCACGAACAACGAAAATTGCTCACCTAATGAAGCTTGTATAGACAATATATGTCAGCAACCATGTGATGTACATAATCCTTGTGTAGAAGATGCAGTATGCTTAAACGTTAATCATGGATGCGATTGCGTTTGTGAGAATGGCTTTGAAGGAAACGGTTATGCACTCTGTGTTCCTGGTAAGAATCTATAACAAAAGTCCAATTGATTTGATTATATTTAATTGTCTTCAATAGTTGGAAAGAAACCTATTTGTCAATACAATGAAGATTGTCCACCACACCTTTATTGTGATCGATTAAACCGAGCTTGCATGAATCCATGTGTCGATGACTTTTGTGGTGAAAATGCCGAATGTTACGTAGAAAACCACAACGCACAATGTAGATGTCCAACAAACTATCATGGTAATGCTTTTGTACAATGTATGAAGAGTGAATCTTGTAGCGACGACAAACAATGTCCTATTTCACAAGCTTGTACTAATGGAGAGTGTGTTACCCCTTCATGTAATTGTGGTCTAAACGCTAAATGCACAATAGAAGGGCATAAAGCAATTTGTGCCTGTCCAAAAGGTTTTAAAGGTAATCCTTATGTTAGTTGTGATAATTTGAATCCCTGTGTACCAAGTCCTTGCGGAAAAGATGCCCTTTGTAAATTAGATGGTGGAAATCCAATTTGTTACTGCCCCAAAAACCTAACAGGAAATCCATTTGACAAATGTATTCCTAAAGGAAACAAATGTTCGAAAAATTCATGTGGCCCAAATAGTGAATGTGTTGTTGTAAACAGAAAGGTGACCTGCTTTTGTCTTCCGAATTATGAAGGGAACCCACCACGAAAACCTTGTCAACCTCCCAAAAATCCATGTGAATCTAATGTCTGCGGCCCTAACACTCAGTGCTCAATCGAGAAAAATGGTTTAGCTAAATGTTCGTGTCTTTCTGGTTTTATTGAAAGTCCCAACACTATTAGAGGATGTGTAGAATCTAGAGATCCTTGTGAATCAAATCCTTGTGGAAAAGAGGCAATTTGTGACAGTAGTAGAACTCCTATGTGCTTCTGTCCTGATAACAAACGAGGTAACCCATATCGTGGATGTGAAGATCCTATTGCAAGACATGCCTGTGAACCTGGCTCTTGTGGTAAAAATTCAAATTGTTTCGTTACTGGTAATGAAGAAGTGCGTTGTGAATGTCAATTAGGATTTATTGGAGATCCATATGTTGGTTGCAATGAAGTTCCAAAATCTATTTGTGATCCGAATCCTTGCGGTCCTGGAGCTTCTTGTATTGCTTCATTTGATGGAAAAAGTATGTGCATATGTCCTGAAGGAACTCATGGAGATCCAACAAGTTATGAAGGATGTTACAGCAGTGAATGCTTAACAGATAAAGATTGCTCTATTGATAAAGCTTGCATTGGAAGAGTTTGTAAAAATCCATGTGATGGTGCGTGTGGCTACGATACTCACTGTATTGTTGAGAGACATAGACCAGGTAAAATTAGTAAATAGTTAAATTATCTTAATTTTTATGAAATATTTTTTTCACAGTTTGTTCTTGTGTGCCTGGTTATACTGGAAATCCGTACTCAAGATGTTATCTGGGTGGTAGCTTAACACATGATCCATGTCCAAAAGGAAATAAGAAACCAGAATGCAATCCAGAATGTCTTTTAAATTCCGATTGCGATGACTCAAAAGCTTGTATTGATCGAAAATGTGCTGATCCCTGCAAAAATGCGTGTGGAATCAACACGCTTTGTCGGGTAGAAAAACATACTGCTATTTGTCAATGCTTACCAAATCACATGGGAGATGCATTGATTCAATGTACATTAATTAAACCCCATCACGATACAACTAAAGATCCATGTAAACCATCACCATGTCCAGCTAACGTAAAGTGCTTTAGCTATGACAACAAAATAGCTATTTGTGATAACTGTGCTTCACCAGACTCATACAACAATCCTCAATGTAGACCACAATGTACAACAGAATCAGAATGTCCTTCAAACATGGCTTGTATCAATCGCCGTTGTGAAGATCCTTGCCTCAATAATTGCGGCAGAAATAGTGAATGTAAAGTTATAGGTCATAAACCAAATTGTCGATGTATGGAAAATATGATCGGTAATCCATATGAAAGTTGTGAGTTCCCAACAGAAGACGAAAAGAAGGCTTCATGTGGTGATAAAATATGTGGTTCAAATGCTGAATGTACTCAAAAGGGAAGAGTGTTTAAATGTGTATGTCAAAAAGATTACTATGGAGATCCACTTGTTGGATGTCAACCAGAATGTACGATAAACTCTGAATGTCCCAGCAATAAAGCTTGTGTTCGTAGCCGTTGTATAAATCCTTGCGACGAGAATATTTGTGGAAATGGTGCACGCTGTGAAGCCAAGAACCATAGAGGCGTTTGTACATGTCTTGAAAACTATACAGGAAATGCTTACTTAATGTGTACACCAGTGTCTAATGATATTACACCAATTCCACAAAATTCTTGTGGACCTCCTTCGCCATGTGGACCATACAGTAAATGCGCGATCAGCAGTACTGGTATTGCTGTTTGTTCTTGTCAGCCAGGTATGAAAGGTTCACCTCCATCATGTCAACCAGAATGTTCATTGAGTTCAGATTGTAGTCAACATGAATCTTGCATACGTAATCGTTGCATTAATCCATGCGGAGAAAGAATATGTGGAAGAGGAGCACATTGTGATGTTAAAAATCATAATCCAATTTGTACATGTAATCCTGGATTAAGAGGTGATCCTTTCGTATCATGCTCTCCATATGAGGAACCAGTTGAGGCTCATCCATGCGATCCATCACCATGTGGAAAATATTCAATATGTAAGGAAGATAATAACAGACCTGTTTGTTCTTGCATGGCAAACATGTTAGGTGCACCACCTCATTGCCACCCAGAATGTATTTTACATTCAGATTGTTCTCAAAATCAAATTTGTTCAAATCTTCGTTGTGAAGATCCATGTGTTTCAAATCCGTGCGGCAGAAATAGCGAATGTCGAGTTACATCACACACTCTCATTTGTAGCTGCAAACATGGATACCAAGGTGATGCATTTACTGGATGCGTTGAAGTAATTGAGGATCCTAGAACTCCAAAGAATCCTTGCGAGCCAAGTCCATGTGCAATTAATTCCCAATGCTCTGTAATTGATACAAACAGATTTAAATGTTCTTGTATTCCACCTTATCGAGGCGATCCTTACAATACTGGATGTACTCCTGAATGTACAACAAATAGTGATTGTCCATATGATTTAAGTTGTCATAACTATGTGTGTAGGGATCCATGTCCAGGTGTTTGTGGTAAAAAAGCATACTGCGAAGTAAATAACCACGTTGTAAACTGCCAATGTGAACGAGGATATGTTGGAAATGCATTTGAAGGCTGTAAAAAAGAACCCATTACACCTATAGTTCCTCAAAACCCATGTTCTCCTGAAAGAAACCCTTGCGGCCAAAATAGCCAATGCATTGAAAGTAGTGATGGTAGACCTGTTTGTTCTTGTTTACCTGAAATGAGAGGCTCTCCCCCATCATGTAGACCTGAATGTTTGGTTAATTCTGACTGCAAAACAAGTGAAGCTTGTATTCAAAGAAAATGCTTGAATCCATGTAATACATCTCCGTGTGGCGGAATTAACAGTGAATGTAGAGTACACAATCATAATATTTATTGTACTTGTAAACCAAATTATGTAGGTGATCCATTTGTCATGTGTAACAAGAAAGGTAAGGATATATTTTAAAATTGAAATTTAGTTTCATTCTCTTATATTTTCTATAGTGATAGAAGATCCAGTGAGGACGTTCCCTTGTCAACCATCCCCATGTGGTCAAAATGCACAATGTTCGGAAGTTAACAACAATGCAATCTGTAAATGTTTACCAGACATGTTAGGAGCACCACCAAATTGTCGACCTGAATGTTCATTTGTACAAGATTGCCCTCCATCAAGAACTTGTATATCTGGACGTTGTGTTGATCCTTGCATCGGAGCATGTGGAAATAATGCATTATGTACAGTTCATAATCATGTTCCAAATTGTGAATGCATATCGCCTCAATACAAAGGAGATCCTTATAGTGGATGCGTCTACGAAGGTAAGTGCCTTTCCAAAAAAGAAACTCTTTTTTTATCATTTTTGAATTTTATAAATATAAAACTTTGAATTCTTCTATATATAAATTTATTACTTCCTTTTTGTGTAAATATTTCTATTTCTATTTGCTATAAAAATCAGTTCAACTGAAAGATGATCCTAAGCCTTGTGAACCCTCTCCTTGTGGTGTTAATGCAATTTGTAAAGAGAGAAATGGTGTTGGTTCTTGTAGTTGCATGGAAAATTTTTATGGAGATCCATATATAAATTGTAGACCTCAATGCATTTTAAATTCTGATTGTGAAAACTCAAAAGCATGCATAAACAACAAATGTGTCGATGTATGTTTAGGAATTTGTGGTTTAAATGCTAGATGTGAAGTAGTTAATCATTCGCCATCATGTTATTGTAATGATAATTTCATCGGAAATCCTTATCAAAAATGCTCCAAAAAACCAGATTGTAAGATTTAAAAAACTTTTAGCTTTTTTTGAATGTTAGCTTTAGAAAAAAAAATAATTTCAGTGACATATTTACCACCTGCTCCCAGTCCTTGCCAGAAAAATCCATGCAGTGGAATTAATGCGATTTGTAAAGAAAGAAATGGTGTTGGTTCCTGTGTTTGCCCAGAAAATTATTACGGCGATCCTTATGTAGCTTGTAAGCCAGAATGTGTCACTAACAGCGATTGTTCTCTAGACAAAGCGTGTAATTCTAATATGCATTGCTATAATCCATGTTCTGTCCATGATATTTGTGGTTTAGGGGCACAATGCAAAGTAGTAAGACATAATCCAGTTTGTGTGTGTCAACCTGGCTTGAAAGGCGATCCATTCGTTAAATGTTTTGTAGAAAGAAGTAAGAAAAATCGAAACAATCCGTATCAAAGATCAGATATAAAGTTATTATTATTTTTTCATAGAACCTATTGAAAATGAACCTATTAATCCATGTTCACCTTCACCTTGCGGACCAAATTCGCAATGCAAAGAAAGTTCAAAAGGTCATGCTGTATGCTCTTGCATACCAAACATGTTAGGTTCTCCTCCAATGTGTAGGCCTGAATGTACATCCGATGATCAATGTCAATCAAATATGGCATGCTTAAACTTAAAATGCATAGATCCGTGCCGCGCAAATAGTTGTGGTGAAAGTACCCAATGTCGGGTTCAAAATCATAGATTTAGTTGTTACTGCTTAGAAGGTTTCTCAGGTGACCCATATACTGCATGTTCGGTTACACAAAGTAAGCTTCTTATTGTTTATTCTAATCATAGATATTAAGTTGTTTTGGGACTAACATTTATGCGATTTATGATTTGAGACAATATCTTATAGGAATTTTTCCTTTGTATATAAAGATACTTTCTCAGTAAATCCAAGTTTTTTGTGATCCTTTTATCTATTATCCTAAGAGTTTTTGTAACTTTCTTAGTTCCACCATATAATGAACCAGTTCAACCTTGTAATCCATCGCCATGCGGATCAAATACGATTTGCATGGAACGTAATGGTGTAGGATCCTGTAGATGTATTGAAAATTATTTTGGTGATCCATATATTGGCTGTAGACCTGAATGTGTAACAAGCTCTGATTGTCCATCAAATAAAGCCTGCTATCAAAATAAATGTCAAGATGTCTGTAATGGAGCGTGTGGAAATAACGCTCAATGTGTTGGTGTAAATCATGTTCCAATGTGTTATTGCATTGACGGGTATACTGGTGATGCTCGTTCTAACTGCTACGAAATACCGAAAATCAGTAAGGAAGCTTTTTCATAATAACACAACCTTAAAAGAAAAAGTTCAAAACTTTCTCGAAACTTTAAAGATAGGCACAAGTAGCTTTGTAAAGAAAAAAAATTTGGTGAAATTTTATCACAGTTTAGCGCATTTTCTCACACTCAAGAAAAAAATCAAAAAATATTTTGTAGATTCAAACGAAAAATTTAAAATTTTGTTTTAATAACGTCCTTGACATCGATTTATGTACTTTATGAGAGTTTCATTTTCTTCTTTATGTAAATATGTACCCCAAATATTCAAAAATCTTTTTAAAATTCCGAAAAATTATTTTTGGTTAAATAATCGAATAGAAGCTTTGGGTTGTAATCAACATTATGTGACTTGAACAGAATATGAACAGCACAAAAGATTTAATCTTTAAAAGAAATATGCAACAAATGCATGAAAATGCGGTAGAAAATGTGATAAATTTTACTTTTTGCTTTTCACAGAGCTATTTGCTTCCTACTTCATAATATAACTCCCAATTTTTCAATTTAACAACAAATGTCAAAACTTCCCAACTTTATGGATATTTTACAATTGCCTTTGTTTAGTTCCAACAAAGCCCTGTCAACCTTCAAATTGCGGACCATATTCGCAATGCAGAGAAAGCCCAAATGGTCATGCTATATGTTCTTGCTTACCAAGTATGATTGGATCGCCTCCATCGTGTCGCCCAGAATGCTATACAAGTGATGAATGTGATTTTTCTAAAACATGCTTAAACAACAAATGCATAAATCCATGCAATGATAATCCATGTGCGAGACAAAATTCTATTTGCACTGTGACAAATCACAATGCAATTTGTACTTGTAAGAACGGTTATATTGGAGATCCATTTGTTCAGTGCTTACCAAAACCAATTTACGAAGAACCGATCCAAGATCCATGTTCACCATCTCCATGCGGACCTTATTCTGAATGCAGAAATATTAAAAATACAGCTGCATGCTCGTGTCTTGTTGGTTACGTAGGAAAAGCACCAAATTGTCGTCCGGAATGTGTTTATAATGCAGACTGTCCATTAAATCTTGCATGTGTTAATTACAAATGTGTAGATCCATGTATTGGCGTGTGTGGTATAAACAGTAATTGTCGTGTTCACATGCACTCTGCTGTTTGTGTTTGTGTTCCTGGTTATACGGGTGATCCTTTTAGTGCATGCTCACCTGTGCCAATTAGTAAGCTCTTTAATAGTAAAATTTCATTTATTTTATACACATAATTATTTATAATCATACATTTTTATCTTAACAACAATTTAATGCATTCCATCACAATATTTATCAATCCTTGCAAATATCACAGCAAGGAAATATTCATGTCATTTGTATGTATACTTTTTAAGGTTTATGTAGCATATACATACTTTTTCCGATTTATTTTTTTAAAAATCATATGAATTTATTTCCTGGTTCTTAGTCTTGTTAAGTTTTCTTTCCTATAAGACTATTTTCTTTTCATTTTACTTTTATTGTACTTTTAATGTTTTTTTTTTGAAATATAAAAACATACCAAAAATGAAGATTATTTAAAACACCTTTTATGACCATCTACGTAAGATATGACAATAATTTACTATCTTTCCAATGTTAAGCTCCTCCAAATGATGTAATATCAGATCCATGCAATCCATCACCATGCGGTTCAAATACGATTTGCAAAAAACAGGACGGAGCTGGATCATGTGCTTGCTTAGATGACTTTTTTGGAGATCCATATATTGGTTGTCGACCTGAATGTACAACAAATTCTGAATGTCCAACTGACATGGCTTGTAGCAACCAGAAGTGTAAAAATCCTTGTTTAGGAGTTTGCGGTTTTAATGCAGAATGTCGAGTGCTCTCTCACAAACCTCTTTGTACTTGTATAGAAGGTTACGAAGGAGAGCCAACGAGAGGATGCACTCAAAGAGAAATCTGTAAGGAAAACTTTTTTGGATTTATAAGTTCATTTTATATATTTCTATGATTTTAAAAATATGTAGCCACTCCACGACCATTCCCTTGTAATCCATCACCTTGTGGACCAAATTCGCAATGTCGAGAAGTTAATAATCAAGCTGTCTGTACATGTTTGCCAAACTACATAGGATTACCTCCATCATGTCGACCAGAATGTTATACAAGTTCGGACTGTGATCAAGATAAATCTTGTATAGATCAAAAATGCAAAAACCCATGTAGAGAACTTTCACCATGTGCCAAACATAATTCTCGTTGTACTGTTATCAATCACAATCCAATATGTACATGTGAGAACAAATATACTGGAGATCCGTTTATCAATTGTATTCGAATTGAAGACAGTAAGTAATTTTTTATAGTTCTTATAAAAGCTATGTTAATATGTTAATTTATATTATTTAAGATCCTGTTGAACCTATTAATCCTTGTGATCCATCACCATGTGGACCATACTCACAATGCAGACAAACTCCTACTAAACAAGCAATATGTTCATGTCTACCAAATTATGTTGGAATTGCTCCTAACTGTAGACCTGAATGTACAACTAGTAACGAATGCTCAAACAATTTAGCGTGCATAAATAATCGTTGTATACCTCCATGTGATCAAAATCCATGTGCAAGAAATGCTGAATGTAGAAACATAAATCATAATCCAATCTGTTCCTGTCAGGATGGCTATGAAGGAGATCCAACTATTCAATGTAACCCGATTCCATTAAGTAAGTATTTTTATTTTGTATTGTGGATATGTATACCATTTTTGAATGTTCTATAAATTAAGCAACTGCAAGAACTCCTGAATTGAAAGTTTGTGAGACAGGAATCTGCGGAGTAAACGCTGAATGCAAGGAACGTAATGGCGCAGGTATGTTCGATGTCTTATTCATATTCCATATAGGATATTAAAAAATAAAATTTCTGAAACTAAATTACTAATAATAAGAAAATATCCATTTTATTGAAGCTGCTTGTTTCTGTTTACCGAACTTCTTTGGAGATCCATACACTGGTTGTAATAGAGAATGTGAATCCAATAGTGATTGTAAACAACATCTTGCATGTAGTAAAAATTATAAATGCGAAGATCCATGTCCTGGAGTATGTGGCATCAATGCCAGATGCACCGTTCTTAATCATATTCCAACTTGTGAGTGTGCTAAAGGAATGATAGGAGATCCATTTTCAATATGTAAAGATGAACCAATTACACCGAAACAAAATCCATGCAGTCCATCACCATGTGGCCCTTATTCGATATGTAAACAAGGTCCAAATAGTCAATCAATTTGCACTTGCTTGGAAGGTTACTCTGGAAAAGCACCCAATTGTAAACCTGAATGTGTTTCTAATTCTGAATGCCCATCAACTTTAGCATGTATTAATTTGCGTTGTGTTGATCCTTGTCCAAACACTTGTGGAATTAATGGTAGATGTGAGGTTCGAAGCCATTCTCCTATTTGTTCTTGTAGATATGGGTATACTGGCGATCCGTTTATACAATGTACACGAATACGTAAGCATATGCTAAACTTTTTCACTTTTTAATTATTAAAAATAAATTTTCATGGTTACAAAATATAGCTTATGAAGATGCGACTACTCCAAGACCGATATCGTGTACACCCAATCCATGTGGTCCTCATTCAACTTGTAAAATTGTCAATAACAATCATGTTTGTTCCTGTTTGCCTGATATGAAAGGTGCCCCACCAAACTGTGTTCCTGAATGTTTAGTTCATTCAGACTGTCCGGCGTATCTTACTTGTATCAATAATAAATGTAAAGATCCATGTGTTGGTTCATGTACTACATATAGTGAATGCAAAGTTGTATCACACACACCAATTTGTAGTTGCATGAATGGATATACTGGTGATCCATTTATATCGTGCAGCCCAGTAACCACTACAACAGTTAAACCCTATTTCTCTGATCCATGTGATGGATTATGTGGAACAAACACAAACTGTAATAATGGCGTTTGTACATGTTTTGCTGACTATCAGGGAGATCCATACAAAGGTTGTAGACCAGAATGTACGTCAAATATTGAATGTCCTCGTAACAAAGCATGTAATCGAAATCGATGTGTTAATCCATGCGTAAATATCTGTGGAGAAAATGCTTTATGTGAAGTTGTTAATCATTTAGGTGTCTGCTCATGTCCTGAACATATGGAAGGTATAAACTTGTCGTATTACGTTGACTTTTTGAAATATACCACCGTTTAATATTTATGTAGGAAATCCGTTCGTTAGATGTATTCCAAAACGCGAGGAAGTAGAATCAAGAGATCCTTGTCAACCTTCACCATGCGGACCATATAGTCAATGTAGGGTTGTTAATAATAATCATGCAGTTTGTTCATGTGTCGAAGGTTACATAGGTTCTGCACCAAATTGTAGACCCGAATGTATTTTAAGTTCAGAATGTCCTCAAACTTTGTCATGTATAAATTCAAAATGTGTAGATCCTTGTGTTGGAGCCTGTGGAATAGAAGCAAGATGTGAAGTTAGAAATCACAGTCCAATTTGTAGTTGTAAATCACACATGACTGGAGATCCTTTCAAGAGGTGTTATGAAAAACCAGTTGATGATAAACCAGTAGATAAATCACAACCATGTGTACCTTCTCCTTGCGGACCAAATTCACAATGCAAAGAAAGTCAAAATCGTCCAATTTGTTCCTGTCAAACTGGCTACTTTGGAAATCCACCGAATTGTAGACCAGAATGCAGTGTTAATGCTGACTGTCCAAATGATAAAATATGTGATCAAAATAAATGTATTAATCCATGTCCAAGCGTTTGTGGTAAGTATTATTTATGAAACATTGTACTTTAATGTGACTGAAGCTGTGTGACTTCATTATGCTTAATTCTTTATGTCATATAAAAAATTTAAATGAAAACTATATGATTTTGAAGACATTAATACTAGCAGTATTTTTTTTTTTTCATTAAAATTTGTTTTTTGGGGACGTTATAAATGCTTGTCTTTGTTTAAGAGTCTATTGTTTTTTACTTGAAGATTGGGGTCTCAATTTGAAACAGAGAATAAATTTATCCTTGTGCTTTGTAATAATAAAAACCATTAATTTACTGAAACAATCATGACACTTGATCTAAAAACTATTCAGTTCATAAATAAATTTATATTAACTTCATTTAAAATAGGTGAAAATACTGAATGCAAAGTTGTTGCTCATACGATAACATGCAACTGCTTAGAAAATCATGTTGGAGATCCTTTTTATCGTTGCACTCCAGTAATTAAATATGAAGAGCCAATTAAAGTCTGCGAACCGTCACCTTGCGGCTACAATGCTGAATGCATAGAAAGAAATGGTGTTGGATCCTGTAGATGCATACAAGATCATTTTGGAGATCCTTATCAAGGCTGTAGACCCGAATGTGTGACTTCATCTGACTGCATTTTAAGTCTAGCTTGTATAAATTCAAAATGTAAAAATCCTTGCTTAGGAGCATGTGTTCAAAATAGTGAATGTCAAGTTGTAAATCATATACCATCTTGTACTTGCAACAAAGATTTTGAAGGAGATCCTTTGATTTCATGTACACCAGTATACAATGAACCAGTTACAAGACAGCCTGAAAATCCATGCAATCCATCGCCATGTGGCTCTAACAGCATGTGCAAAGTAACTAGTAATAATCATCCTGTATGTACATGTATTGAAAATTATATCGGATCACCACCAAATTGTAAACCAGAATGTGTTGTAAATTCTGAATGTCAATCAGTAGATGCCTGTATTAACAATCGCTGTAAATCTCCATGCAGATCAGACTTGTGTGGTAAAAACACTGAGTGTGAAGTGCGAAACCATAGCCCTGTCTGTAAATGCAGAGATGGCTATGAAGGTAACCCAAAAAAAAGCTTTTATTTTAAATTAAAATTTATCATTATCCATTTTTGTGTTCGCAATAGGAAATCCATTTGTTCAATGCAAGAGAATAATAATAGAACATACTCCTTTGGAGCCAACAAATCCTTGCTTCCCATCGCAATGCGGTAAAAACAGCCAATGCAGGGAAGGATCTAATGGTCAAGCTATTTGTTCATGTCTTCCGAACATGATTGGAGCACCTCCTTCATGTCGTCCCGAGTGTGTTGTAAATTCAGATTGTCCACAAAGTGAAGCATGTATCAATCAGAAATGTCAAAATCCTTGCCTAAACGCTTGTTCATATAACAGTGAATGTAGTGTCCAAAATCATATTGCAACTTGCGAGTGTACAAAAGGTTTCACAGGAAATGCATTTGAAGGATGCGTTCGCATAACTGAACCAACTGTACATGATCCGTGTAATCCAAGTCCATGCGGAAGAAATGCTGTTTGCAATAATGGAAATTGCTACTGTAATGATGATTATATTGGAGATCCTTACGTGCAATGTAGACCTGAGTGTACTTTGAGTACTGAATGTCCTTCAAATAAGGCATGTGTTAGGAATCATTGCGTTGATCCTTGCGTAAATGTTTGTGCTCCAAATGCGATTTGCTCTGTTTACAATCATATTCCAACCTGCAACTGTCCAAATAATATGATTGGTAAATATTCTAATTCAATTACTAAAATTTTTTCATTTTAATCGTTTCCTTCCTAAAATTATCAGGTGGTCCATTCACCCAATGTCGTGTTGAGGATACTAGACCAGTTCCTCAAAATCCATGTTATCCTTCAAAATGTGGCCCAAATTCCCAATGCAAAGAAAGTCCAAATGGTCATGCTATTTGTTCATGTTTATCAAATATGATAGGATCTCCTCCATCATGTCGCCCAGAGTGTGTTATTAATTCGGAATGTGAACTATCTAAAGCATGTAAAAACAGTAAATGTGTAGATCCTTGTGGTCCAGGAGTTTGTGGAATCAATGCACGTTGTCAAGTCAAATCACATTCTCCAATATGTACTTGTATGCCTGGATATAATGGTGATCCATTTAATAAATGTGAATTAATTCAAGAAGAACCTATTGCTCCAAAAGCACCTTGTACCCCAAATCCATGCGGCCCTAATGCACAATGTAAAGAAATCTCTGATCTACCAGCTTGCTCTTGTTTGTCTGGTTTTATTGGTGGTAAGATTCAACTTTATGCATTCGTTTTCTCAAATATTGCTTTTTATTTAGATATAAATTTTTATTAAATTTTTAAAATCTATTAAAATTTCAACTATCAGAAAGTCTAATATTTTTATTATTCCATAGCCCCACCCAATTGTAGACCAGAATGCTTGGTTAATTCTGACTGTCCAAACGCTCTGGCTTGTATGAAGAATAAATGTGGAGACCCCTGTGTAAATGCATGTGGTTTAAATGCAATGTAAGTGCTTAGAATTTTTTCATACAAATTTAATTAAATATGTATAACTTTTTAACAGTTGTTCCGTAATAAATCACAATCCAATTTGCAATTGCATTGAAGGCTTTAAAGGAAATCCATTCTATAGTTGCGAAAAAGTTACCGGTGAGTCAAAATTACGATATTTTACACTTATTCTACACAAAATGCTTAGAGAAACATAATTTGAAATTATTAAATTTAAAATTAATCCCGAGAAATTGTTTAAAATTTAAGCTTAAAAGCTTTTAATAAATTGCTTCAATAAATTTGTTTAATACTATTGTTGGAATAGTTATTTGTAAGTCAATATGCACTGTAATAACAAGTATTTCTAAAAAGCTACTCTATTCTTGCAAAAACGGAAGACAAAACACTGCATCGATAAGACGAATCGAAAAATATTTGTGGTTTGGTTTTTACCTGCTTTTAATCACATTAAATAAGAGCTGTGTTATTTTTTTAAAACGCCTAATTAAAAACTTATTAATCAAATTAAATCTGTAAAAAGAATGAATTATATCAGTGTTTCTCAAACTATGTTTGCGGAGCTTTATTATAATAATTCGCAATAAAAACCTAGTTGATCCACGAAATGATTGTGTAACAATAGAGTTGGTTATTATAGATGTAGCAAAAGAAGGTCATGTAACAAAAACTGTGTCTCGAAAGAATAATTAAAAAAATTAATGCTCCGTAAGCCGAAAATGTTTGAGAAACACTAGATTATAGCAAACAACCCTAAGTAGAATAATTTAGGGATTAAACATTGATTACCCTTTCTAAATCAAAAAAAAAATAATAAAAAAAAAATTATTTTTGGCCCTATACGTATTTAGCATTAAACTATAGCTGTAACTTCAGATGAATCATTACGTAAAAATCAAATTACAGCTGTAATTTAACGAGCATAAATAACATACAGCAGTAAATACCAGGGTGGGGAGATTTTTTGCGATTTAAATCAAAATCACAGAATTTATTTTTGATTTAGATTTAAATCTCAATGAAAAATGATTTTAAAAAGGGATTTTGATTTAAATCATTTTTGCAAAGGGATTTTTTTTGGGATTTTGATTTAAATCATTTTTGCACAGGGATTTTGATTTAAATCAAAATCCAAAAAAAAAAACCTTTGAAAAATGATTTAAACCAAAATCAAGAAAAAAATCACTTGGGTAGAGTGATTTAAATCAAAATCCCTTTTTAAAATCATTGCAAAAAGATTTTGATTTTTGATTTAAATCACCCACCCTGGTAAATACAGATAGTGTTAACAGCTTAGACCAGACTTAGCCATAATTACAGTTGATTTAATTTTTCGTGTGTTCAAAAATTCAAAATTTTATGAATTGTCTTTGGTTTTACTCCGAGCTATATTCTTTTTAAAACACCCAAAAAAATCTCCTTAATACACATTTGTCAAATGATGAGGACTTGAGTATATTTTTTTTTTGAATAATGATCGTGAAAACTAGTAGAAACATTATCCATTTATTATCATAATGACTCGAATATACATTTTCTATCATTGTACCCTAATCTGGTTTGATTTAACTGATAAGTACTCTGATATTGAAAAGAATCCATATGAAAGGAAAAAAATTAGATCGGTTTTTTAGATTTCCTGTTAATTTAGAAGTTAATTGACAATTCGCTTTTCAGCGAATTTAAAAGAAGTACCTTGTTTTCTATCAAATATTTTTGTAAAAGCAAAAATCACAGCCAAAACAATCATAATTCATAAAAAATAAACCAACTGTAAGTACAGATCAACCTTGTCTAAGCTTTAAACAGTATCTGTATTTACAGCTGTAAATTAAAGCAAAAATTTAATTTTTTCGAAACGAAGTAATGTCATTTGTAATTTACGACTGTAATTTAATGCTACATAGAAAAGGGTTTTTAGCGCATATTTGTAATCTTGTATACAAACAGGGAGCTTAAAAATGCGAAATCTTCGTTCGTTCGGCTGCTCGTTCGTCTGAAGAAAAACTTTTTAAGCAGACATTGTAGAGAGCTCACGTTTGTTTTATTAGCTCCGTTACTATTGTATATTGTCCGATCGAATAGTTAAAAATCTTAAAACAGTGTATTTATACTATAATTAATGATTTTTTTATTTCATAAACAAAACCACGTGATGAGTTCGTTTAAAAAATTCAACATTACCTCTATAATTTCAAATTTTTCTAGCCGATGTAAAATTTGAATTTCAAAAAACCGCTAAATGATAAAGCTTTTTTTGTATAGAAATTCATTGCAACAAATTATTAATTATACTATAATTGAGGTTCTTGTAGTGCAACTTTTAGCGGAAATATTTCAAATTATTTATTGACCGTTAAATAATAAAGCCTTTCTATATAAGCACTCAATATAATTATTTGTTAATTACACTCAAATGAATAATCTTCTAAACTTCTAATGATCTGTAAACGAACGCAAAATAATTCGATAATCAAATACTGATCGCTGCGTCAAAACTGCGCTGAAGTCCCTCGATCAATAACACGAGGACTTTTGTAATTTTTTCGGATCAATCTGGTTCAAGGTAAACTGTAAAGTAAGGCCGGGAGGCGCCTTTTAAATGGATTACAGTAACCCAATCCCAGTACAGCAAACCGTGTGTTTGCTATAAAAAAACACCCATTAAAAACTAAAATAAATTTTATACTGGAAACAAAAAACTTAAAGATTTATGCTTAAGCTTACAAACAAATTAAAAAAGAACACAAAAAACTACCAAAATAAACAAGCACACATTTACAATAATAATAATAATAATAATGATAATAATAATAAGCCCGACTCAAAATTAAAAATATTGGACACTAAAAATTTCTCTTATATTGATAGAATCTCATGATGAGTATCTAAATCCATGTCATCCCAATCCTTGTGGCTACAATGCTGATTGCATCGAAAGAAACGGAGTAGGTTCTTGTGTTTGCAAGGATAATTTCTTCGGTGATCCATACGAATCTTGTCGTCCTGAATGTGTTCTCAGTGCAGATTGTCCTTCTCATTTAGCATGTGTAAACTCTAAATGCAAAGACACTTGCGCTGGAAGTTGTGGCGTTTTTAGTGAATGTCGTGTTGTTAATCATGTTGCAAATTGTATTTGTATTTCTGGTTACACTGGAAACCCATATTCGAATTGTTACCTTATTCAGGAAGAACGTAAGAATACTTTTTCTCATTCTTTTGCTTCATGCGAACTAACAATCCTGCTTGATCAAGACAGCGATTCTCTTAAAAATTGTGTACATTTAAAATCTAAATAAATTATATTTTTTCACGAGCAGCCACAACATCAGTGTCTCAAAATCCATGTAATCCTTCACCTTGTGGGCCCAACTCTCAATGCAAACAAGGTTCAAATGGACAGCCAATTTGTTCATGTCTTCCTACAATGACTGGCTCACCCCCTTCATGTCGTCCTGAATGTGTCAGCAGTTCTGAATGTGAACTCTCAAAAGCTTGTAAAAACAATCGTTGTGTCAATCCTTGTTCTGATGCAAATTGTGGTCTTAATACGAATTGTCGAGTCATATCTCATGCTCCTATTTGTAGTTGCAAAGATAAATATCAAGGCGATCCATTTGTTAGATGTTACAAAGAAGAACGTAAGAGAGTTTTTTTTTCTTCTTCGATACTTGTATTTGATAAACTTTTATTTCAATACTTGCCTTATTTTCTATAAAATCTTATGTACAGCTTTACCACAACCAAACGACGTACCCGTTAATCCGTGCTTCCCATCACAATGTGGTTTGAATTCGCAATGTAAGCAAGGTCCTAATGGTCAAGCAATATGCTCATGCCTTCCCAACATGATAGGATCTCCTCCCTCTTGTAGACCAGAGTGTACAACAAACTCTGAATGTGGAGAAAATGAAGCTTGTATCAATCAGAAATGTCAAAATCCATGTCTTAATGCTTGTTCTTATAATAGCGAATGTAGAGTACAGAATCATATCGCAACTTGCATATGTTCCGAAGGTTTTACTGGCAATGCTTTTGAATCTTGCAATAGAATAATCGAAGACTTACCTAAAGATCCGTGTAATCCAAGTCCATGCGGAAGAAATGCTGTTTGCAATAATGGAAATTGCTACTGTAATGATGATTATATTGGAGATCCTTACGTCCAATGTAGACCTGAGTGTACTTTGAGTGCTGAATGTCCATCAAATAAGGCATGTGTTAGAAACCATTGTGTTGATCCTTGCATAAATAATATTTGCGCTCCAAATGCAATTTGCACTGTTCATAATCATGTTCCAAACTGTAACTGTCCAGATAATATGATTGGTAAATACTTTTGGTTTATGAGTTTAAATCAATGAGTTATTTTTAAAAAAAAATCTTTTGTTTCCAAAAAAGGTGATCCATTCACTCAATGTCGTGTTCAAGATAGGCCTGTTCCTCAAAATCCATGTTACCCTTCAAAATGTGGTCAAAATTCGCAATGCAAGGAAGGACCAAATGGTCAACCAATTTGCTCATGTTTACAAAATATGATTGGTTCTCCTCCATTATGTCGTCCAGAGTGTGTGATTAGCCCAGAATGTGAAATGTCCAAAGCATGTAAAAACAATAAATGCGTAGATCCTTGTGGTCCAGGAGTTTGTGGAATCAATGCACGTTGTCAAGTCAAATCACATTCTCCAATATGTACCTGTTTACCAGGATATAATGGAGATCCATTTATTAAATGTGAAATTATACGAGATGATGAACCATCTATTCCAAAAGCACCATGTTCTCCAAATCCATGTGGCCCTAATAGTATTTGCAGGCAAATTTCAGATTTACCTGCTTGTTCATGTTTAGAAGGTTATCTTGGTGGTAAGAGTTTTTTGTTTTGTTTTTTCGATTGGATCTCATCTTAAATTTTTTTCATTATTATGACTTACTTTTTATCTCAGTACCACCAAACTGCCGTCCCGAATGTCTAGTTAACTCCGATTGTCCAAATTTGCTTGCATGTATGAACAAAAAATGTGGCGATCCATGCATCAATGCATGTGGATTAAACGCTAAGTAAATTAATGAGCTTCTGTTGTAAATTTTGTATTCACATTTTACTTTCACAATTTATAGATGTTCTGTTGTTAATC